ATTCTTTTCTAGTTCCCTTTTCTGACTCCCTTTCTCCTCTCAGACCTTGAAACACCACATTTCCTCAGATCTCTTCCCATTCTACATGTTCTCCCTAGGTAACTCTCTCAGTCTCGTGGTTCCAAATATTGTTTATATGCCAATGACTACAAACTTAATTGCATTTCAGCAAATCAAAAATACCAGGGGATTGATTGTAAGACACACCAAGAATTTAGGTACCACAAAGAAAGACAGAAGCATTGCAGCAGTGCAACAATAACTTCTTACTACATTGATCATAAGATGCGTTACCATTCTCAGAAGTGTTGGACTGTGAGAACTGTACACCCAAGAATTAATGATCTACTGTAATATGTTTTACATAGATGAACTTCTATTTGCAGAGCATGAATACCTAATGTGTCTTAAGCTAAGTGTTTCTAGGAGCATACAAATGAGTTGCAGTAACTGTCTAGAGAAGTTGGTAATTTCTTAAGTCATCTCCAAGTATGAAGAGGTCTTATTACCATATGGATTATTATATGTGGAAATGAGATAGAATTAAGTTAGCCGAACAATGAAACAGAGTTATTGAACCAGTGGGTCTTCAAGACACTGCCAAACCTCTTGAGATTTATTTCTTTGTATCTAAAGTTGATGACTCTAGAGTCACAGTCAAGAATGTTCTGGCTATCTTAGTATAAACCACATAGTGGCCCCTGAGCACTATGTTCCCTGTTGTCACAGAATTTCTCAAACAACTGAATTTTAATTTGTATTACTCATTTCTTTTGTTGGTACACGTCACTGGGAAATCATGCTGGTGGTGTTTCCCTCATTTTTTTTTAAATTTCTTCATCTCTCTACTTCAGAATTACTTTTGACAGCTGTGGGACCTGTAAGAACTACTGCCAAATGTTGAAATGTAATTTTCCTGCAGCAGCATCCAAAGTTAACAAAAGACATGGAAAAATCGCATTAAGTGTTCTAATCTACCACCATCTGTGAACCTTGTTCTGTTCCACTGAGGTTTTCTAAAAATAATCTAAGGGGTATAACTTCCTTCATTTCTATAGGGAGAATAATCCATACTAAATATTTTTGCCTCAAAATATTATTGTACGTTCAATAATTATCTCCATAATGTTTTTTGTCATGAGTCCTAAGTTCAGGTAGAATTATTTACAATGCATTTTTAGATACTGTTAACTGGTATATGACTCCTGGACTTCTGCTTAATTTGGTAGGTACTTTTTAGCATGCAAATGAGTTTTTTTTCCCATAGAAATGTTCCCAAAATAATATATCCCCTTGCTTTTCTCCTGCTACATCTCTCTTTCATGTTTCTTGTAGTTAGTTCAAAATAGAATGTTTAATGATAAAGATTTAAATACAATAACCTATTCACATGGGGAACGAAAAATATTTTCCTTAAAAACTAGTGGGTCAAAGAAGAAATAAAAACTGAAGCTATAGACTATTTAGAAAGTAAGAAGAATAATATTACTGCAAACAAAACTCATAAAATGCAGCCAAATATTTACTTGGGGAAGGATGATTGGACTTAAAAACTTCTTAAACAAAAAGAATGAAAATTAAGAGGCTATTAAACCCAAGAATTTAAAAATGAACAAAGAAATAAAAGCCACATGGTAGACCAAGGAAAGCAAGTTAAAATGCTTATTAACAAACATGAGTAGAAATTAATAACCAGAAAAGAGAAAAATTATTATTAAATTGATAAATCCAAGACCTTTTACTTTGAAGAAAACCTTTGTTTATATTATCACAAAAAATGTAATTCACAGTATCAGGAATGAGACAAGGGATAAAGAGGGATTTTTCCATAGATAAGAGTTAAAAGAGTTTAAGAATTTAAAACCAGCAATTAGAAGATAATTTATAAAGAAAACAGATGTCAAAAGGAGATTTAATTACCAAAGGAAATATTGAACAGATGGATAATCAGATAAGAAATTAAAATAATTATTTTTGTATAAGAAAGTACCTGTAATTGTTTCAAATAATAATTTGTATGTTGAAAGCTTCCTCACTGACATGATCATAACTGTGTTGAATTCACCTCATTAAAGTCACACACACATAAAGCAAGGACATGCCAGTCTCTTTTAAAAGGATAGATACAAAAACAAAAACAAAACAAACCATAAAACAATTATAGCAGACAAAATACAAGGAATATTAAAACATCAATACACCAAATCCAAGTTGGTGGAATAAATACCAGGAATATATGCCAAGAATAAGAAATCTATAATTATTATGGGTAAGATAGGACTAAAGTAAAAGAGCAAATGTTTATCTAAATACATATGAAAAAGGCATAATGTTCACTCCTGATTTAAATCAAAACTCTTAGTAGACTAAGAATAGGTCACTTCCACAGTGTAATGAAAACTCAGTGGTGAAATATTGGAAGTGTTCCCATTAAAAACAGAAGTGCATGTGCAAAGGTGATTGACGTCAGTAACCATGAGGGAGATGCAAGTTCAGATCACAATGAGACACCATCTCGCTACCTACTAGGGTGGCTAATCGAAAAAGGGAGATTATAACAAGTGTTGACAAAGATGTGGAAAAATTGGAACTTTCATACATTGGTGGTAGGAATATAAAATGGTGCAACTTCTTTGAAAAACAGTCTGGGAGTTTCTCAAAAGGTTAAATAAAGAGTGACCATATGACCCAGCAATTCCTTTCCTAGATACCTATCTATCTATCTATCATTCTATCTATCTATCTATCTATCTATCTATCTATCTATCTATCTATCTATCTACTGAAGAGAAATGAAAATGTATGTCTTCACAAAAACTTGTACAAGAGTATTCATAGCAAATACTCTGTAAAGTAAAATAGCAAAAGAGTATTTTTTTGCTGTAAGAGTAAAATAGCAAAAAATGGAAACAACCCAAATGTCCATCAACTGACAATTAGATAAATAGTAGAAAGTTGCTTGGCAATAAAAAGAAATGAAATACTGATACCTTCTACAAATGTATTCACTTGGATTGAAACATGGATTGAAAGCATTATGCTAAGTGAAAAATCTATGTCACAAAGTACAACATATTGTCTGGTTCTGTTTATATGAAATGTCCAGACAGGTCCATAGAGACAAAAAGTAGCTTGATGTTGCTTATTGCTGAGGTGGTTGGGGGAGAAATGCACAGTTAATGCTGATGGGTATTGGGGTTCTCTTTGGGGGTGATGAAACATGTTTCACAGGTGATGGTAGTGACGGTTGCCCAGTGATGATATGCATAGTGCAGTAAATAAACTAAAAAATCATTGACAAGTGCACTTGAAGTGAGTGAATTGTATGGAATGTGAACTAATTAAATCTCAAAGCTGTTACTAAAAAAAGTAACATGAAAGAAACCCATGAGTGACCGCTGTCACCTCTGTTATTACTGTTATTCTGAAGGTTCTGGTTAATGTCATTAAACAAGGAGCAAAAAAAGAGGTGTGAGTATTAGAAAGGAAGAGACAAATTATTACAAAAAATATTCCTCTCAGAACACCCCAGAGACTTTTTTGAAAAAATCACTAAAACCAATAAAAGAGCTCGTTAAGGAGGCAATTGAATGATCTTGAATATGTATTGACATTCACATGGCCTCAGGAGTTATGCAACCACCCGGCATAAATTGTTTGAATAAAAAAATACTTTATGATTGTGTGAAAAAAAAGAGTTGTGGTGCCTCCACCCCCAATACGCGGCCATATACTAATCATAATAAAATTGTGTTTTGTTAAATAACAACAGAAGAAATTAAATACCGCATTGTTCATTTACGTCATTAACTCTGGAAATAGAGAGGAAGTCGGCTAGGACCCTCAGGTGCCCCTCCTGGAAGGCTGGTTCGGTTCTAAGTGCTCAGGAGACGGAGGCGTGGAGTATCTTGAGGGTTGTTCACCCTCGGCATCCGGGGGAGCGATGCTTGGGTCTGATGTTCCCCAGGCCTTCTTCACTAGAGCAGCTGAGAATCCGCGGGCTCTCCGACTACATCAGGGCCACAGCTTCTGTATGAGACTAAAGAAGGGAGCAAATACGATGCACTAGTCACTCAGCTGCGTCTTGGAAGCAAGCAGCCGTCCTGACCTGAAGGATGAGGGTTGAGCCCAGTGTGTGCTTGAAGATGGTTGATCGTTAGGGGTAGTAAGGAGTGTTGCTGAGCCCTGCCAGCATTCCTGGAGTGTTTATCTCATGGTGTGGTGGCTCTGCCTTCTTAGAGTCATCAGTGATCCAATCTTCACTTGCCCTGTCTTGTTATTTCTACTACATTTCATACTGGAGTCATCCCAACACATGTATCCTTGAAATATGGTGCATATGAGAGATGTGTGCTTCATAAAAATAGTTTCCAGAAATATGTAACAGTTCAAATTTTAGCTCAGAGGGAAGAATTCCACTTATTAAAGATATTTATTATAAATGAATGTAAATATCTTTAATTCGGTAGTTTTCCTAATAAATATGCAGAACATTTCTCTGATGCTTTTTGCTTTTTTATGTATATTTGTATTTCCTACTTGTTTATATGGAAGCAAACAGCCTTGAGGCCATTTCTACAACTGAGAAACACATAGGAAAATACACTATTTTCTTTTTAATGGAATGTAATTCATACAGAGTTATTGTGTAAATTCAGAACTTTGATGTATACACTTCCTGCCATAAGTTAGAATTACATAACTATAGTGAAATAAAAATGCTGACCGATTCAAAATACAGAAAGGATATTCTTAAAGAATACGGTCTGTAAGTCTTTTGTGAAACATTTAAGGTTATGGTGTAGTAATTGGTGAATTTTTATCTTTTGATATATAGAATCATATCCTGAGATCTAATTAAGGGGGCAAGTTTTGATTTTTGTGATTGGGAGAATTCTCAGAATCATGTTTTGGATTAAGTACAAGGTTACCTACTTACTATTTATCTTTGTTACTAGCCCATTTGCTTTACTATAACTCTGTCAAACTGATTTTTCTAGGTCGAAAATGTTCGCTTGGTAGATCGAGTATCTTCTAAAAAAGCAGCCCTAGGTACTTTGTATTTGACGGCTACTCATGTCATATTCGTGGAAAATGCACTGGACTCAAGAAAAGAAACATGGGTATGCCTTCCATATTTCTGGCTCTACATGTTTTCCACTGTTTGAAGTAACACGTTTTGAGCCTCTGTACATGTGTGGAGTGATGTGGTGGGTGTGCGTTTGGTATTTGGGTGTTTAGAGGACCGTTTTTAAAATGTGAATTTTGCCTTTTTTGACACACAGTCAAACCTACTACTTAAATTCATTTAAACTGATATTTAAATGTCATCAAACATAGACCTGGAAAGAGTCAGAGATACAAATATTCCATCAGATACAAATATTCCATGTCATGGCTGTCAGGCAGAGATTCAGTAATGTCAGCATATGGCATCTACCCAGTGCTGTATTTGCAAATGCTTTATCCACAGGATCCTGTAATGCAAGCCATTTAGTCATTTTATTATGTTGTCTCTGCTTTTCTAATAATTTAAAAAGGAAACAGAAAAAGCTAGGGAAGGGTACTTAATAACGAGACCATTAGATATTTCTTATTGTGTATAGCCACGCAACCATGACGTTATGACCGGAACCAGAATCCCTGAACTGTAGATTTTCCCTTTAATATTCCAAAGACATTGTTATGTTTTCAGCAGAAGGTGGTGGGCACTACTTTGTGAGAGGAATTTAAAGAATGAAGTGCTGCCACTGAGGACAGAGCAGAGACCCTCCTGAAACACCAGAGAGATGTTTCAGCGTGATTTCCTCTAAAATAAATCTCTTCTGCAGCCTGCCTGACCACCAACAGCTTAGCAAACAACAATCTCAAGTTGCTGTTGAACTTGAGCATTCCATGTGGGACGAAGGAGCGTGGTGGCACCTCCCAGCAGAGCCATCTCTGACTTTTGTCGATTTCAACGTTTATTTTACTAACTTCTCATGACCTTATTTAATTTTAGCTCTTAAGTGCATTCAACATTTGACTATCAAAATATTCCCTTACCTGGACTTGTGCAAAATTACGTGCTGGATAGTTTGCTCCAAATGATTAGGCTTAGTTATTAGAAAGCTTGGTATTGAAAAATAAAATGCTAAGTTTAGACATTTGGTTCTTCCCCAGACATCTCTGTGCCTGTCATCTGCATGCAGGTGCTGAGACACCTGAAGGCTGGGGGGTCGGGGGGGGGGGTTTTTTTGTCTATCTGCGTGTGGCTGAGATCTGTTATTCCCTGTCATATGTATCATTTATTTGTTTTAGCTTGTCTGTGTTAACGTTTGGTTGCAGATTCTTCATAGTCAGATTTCTACCATTGAAAAACAGCCAACCACCGCTACCGGCTGCCCCCTGCTTATTCGCTGCAAGAACTTTCAGCTGTTACAGCTCATCGTACCGCAGGAAAGAGACTGCCACGATGTGTACATCTCTCTGATACGCCTCGCAAGGCCAGGTAGGGCAGAGGCGCGTGGCCTTTAATATGGACCCACTCTTAAGAAATCGACAAATCATGTTCAAGAAATACAAGAATTATAGTGCTTAAAAATTACAGTGTTTTAAGAATTATATGCCATCTCAGTCTTCAGATGAGGCCAGGAAATAGGAGTGATACAGTTTCTTTTAGGATTTCTCCTGAGGGGTTCACTCTGTGAGCCCCTTTTGTTGGGATTTACTTTATCTCAGAGGGGTTAGAGTGTGTTTTCCTTTCAGGATGAAATCATCTTAAAATTGTGCCCGTCTGGTACTGTGGTAATAAGGCCACCTTGATTGAGGCCTCGAACAAGCTGACCGCATTGTTCTGTGTGGAAAGCACAGGCACCAAACAGTCTGAGTGCAGTTTTTGCTCACCAGGGTGTTTTAGGTTCAGTTTCTGTTGCTTCTTGATGACAATGTATGTTTCCCAAGGTTGGTATAAGTAGACCTTTGTTAGCATCAGCGAGTACTTGCCATATGGATATGTTAACTGTCCTAAATGAAATGTCCTTAAGTGTTGTAGGAAGAATGTTTGGTTGATTTGAAAAATATGTGCCCTCGATTACCCTCTTGTAAGAGCCCTGATTTAGGGTTCTTGAGAGTTGCAGCCTCCTATGCATTTCTACCTAAGTGTGTCTTGTCTCTCTGTGGGGAATGTATGTGTTCTTTTGCTTAAAAGAAATAGCATCTAAGTTTCTTGGGAGAATATGGTGAAAAGAGCTTATTTATATAAAGTAATATCCACAGTAGTGTCAGCCGGACGTCACTGGTAAGAGAAATAGGGTCTGTGCTTATAGCCACTTTGCTAAATGCTGTTGGATTCAGGACAAGAAGTTTGATTAAAACTCTTCAAGGCATTTGGCTGAGTCTTCAGTTTATGATGTGACCATATCATCTGTAGGCAGCAAAGAGTCACCGTTATGTAATGAAGTTGATGCCAGAGAGCTGTGAAAATCTGATAATTCTGACTTGATTTTGCTCCCCTTTCAAGGCAGCTGGTTGAGGCTTTTTCATCTTAGTATGTTGAAAAGAACTGCAGAGCTTGCCAGAAAAGCAGTTGAACTTTTTAGAGGGTGCACTATAATTGGAACAGAAGTTCTGGGAAGATGTACGTTAGGTTGCATGCAGCCGAGAATGCGAGGGAATTGTGTGCCAGCAATTTCCGTGTCACTGATTAATGGCTGTACCGGATAATAAATGCACTCTGACTGGATTACCAGGATTTAGGAATGGCCCAGAGAACTTGGGAGGGGGCTGGGTAGCTGGAGGAGGACATGACAGTGAGGGCTCTGGCCTGGGATGACAGCGAGCGCCAAGACTCTCAATGCAGTGGTCCCCAGGGAGGAAAAACCACTGTGTTCCCTGCTCTTTAAAATGCACAGTGCTTCTTAAAGGTGAAGTTTTGGGAGTTAGGTATTAGAAACAGCCAGACACCAAAAAAGGGAGCCATAGTCATTAATCGAATTAAACCCATTACCTGAGAAGAATTTTAAGAAGCCACCAGCATTTTGAAACACTGCAATTGGAAATGGTGGTTTATATAAAACGTAGTACTTTATTAAGTATGGGAAGATAAAATAGAATACAAGAAATTTCATGATTTCATGTTAAAGGCAATGCTAAGAATAAAACATATTATGGCCTATAACCATGGAAGCAGGGTTTGAAATCTGGGTGGAGGTGGACGGGGTGGAGTGAGGTGCTCCCCCCAGGGGGTATGGGTGGCTTACTGGAACCATCTGAGCATCTTTTACAAAATCCACCTTCACCCTGCCAGAAGTGTTTCAGAATGTATGTGTGTGTGGAGTATACTTTGAATTCTAGCAGCGCAGTATAGCTCTCTGTGGATATTCTGGCTAGTCGCCAACATGAATCACGCATTTTCAGCTTCCCTTATGGACGCAGCTAACTGCAAGGTCCTGTAGAGGACACATTTTTTTCTTTCTGAAAAGAAATGTTTGAGAGTCCATTTCGGTCAAGGCCTATGAACTAGATATTTTTCAAAGCTCTCAGGATTCTGTCTTTACTGCCTTAGGATTTCTGGGAAAAGGGTAAATCAAAATACCACTAAAAATTTGGCAAGATTTTATTGGTTTGCCATTTGTGTGAATTCAGATTAGTAAGAATTTGGTCGTGGGATAAAAGATCCCAGTACAAAATAACATAGCCAAATTCAGGGGACATTTTAATTCTTAGTAAAGAATAATTCACGTTAATAAAGATGTGGTCCAAATGAGAAAATAAGTCAACCCTGTAGATCCAATGAACTAATAAGGATATACATTTTTTAAATTAAAAGCTCCCTATTTCTCAGGGGGCTTCCATTTTTCCCCATGCTTTTTTTTTCTCATCCCTCTAATTTTCCTTGTGCTGTTTATGTTTTTAATTTTAATTTTTTTTACTGAAGTTTGGTTGATACAATATTATCTTGGTTTCAGGTATATAACACAGTGATTCAGCAGTTACATTAAGTCCTCATTCTAACTAGTGCAGTTACTCTGTCAACACAGAAAGATGTGACAGAACCATTGACTGTGTTCTCATTGAGCCTCCTTTTTTTTTCTTTTGGTTTCATTATTATAAAATCACATGAGCAACATTGTGGTTACTAGACTCCCCCCATTATCAAGTCCCCCCCACATACCCTATTACAGTCACTGCCCATCAGCGTAGTAAGATGCTAAGAGTCACTACTTGTCTTCTCTGTGCTCTACTGCCTTCCCCGTGCCCCCCCTACATTATACATGCTAATTGTAATGACCCTTTTTCCCCTTATCCCTCTCTTCCCACCCATCCTCCCCAGTCCCTTTCCCTTTGGTAACTGTTAGTCCATTCTTGGGTTCTGTGATTCTGCTGCTGTTTTGTTCCTTCAGTTTTTGCTTTGTTCTTATGCTCCACAGATAAGTGAAATCATTTGGTATTTGTCTTTCTCCGCCTGGCTTATCTCACTGAGCATAATACCCTCTAGCTCCATCCATGTTGTTGCAAATTGTGCTGTTTATTTTTGTATCAATTATTGTTCCCTCTGTAGTGTTTGTGGGCCCTTTAACACTGAAACCACCTCTTGTTTATTTTCCCATTTTTTACTAAATTAGTGGGGGTTTTTTTTTCAGTTCATCTTAGTCCCCAATTCTTCTGCATATTTCTTGTGATTTTAACAATCTCATGATTGATGGAATCTCATTTGTCTAATTTAACTTTTTACAGTCCTTGTCTAAGTCGTAGCTGCTTAAGCAATTTCTATAGTGGTAATTGCCTTTTTGTTGATGGTACTAGTGTCTGAGTCCAGTGGTCCTTTTCCACCAGGAGCTTGCTTCCACAGTCCTGATGTTTAATTCGATCACTCTCTGTGGATATTCTGGTTAGTCAGAAAATGGACAGCAAAGTTCTCATTATGTTTATTCTAAATGTACAAAATGCAATGTGGCTTTTCAACTGCAGTTACTTTCAGATGCCTGAGTTAAGCAAGACATTTGCAACAATTTAGCTTTCAGTCGTTAGGGTTCTGAGGAACTCCCCATATCTGTACCCTGACTGCACATTCTGCTGATAGCAGTTCACTTTTGTTTTTACTTTTGATTTTTAAAAACACTTGCCTAAGGGAAACTGCCAATACACAGTCATAGTATGCAGGTTTTACATTACTTGTTGCAAGTTTTCTTCTCATTTGTTAAACTGTGCTTCTGATTTTAATATTGAATTACCTTTTGTTTCTCCCAGTTAGTCCGTAATAAGAGGGAATTCTGCCATACATTTTTTCCTAAATATTGTGTTATTATAATGTTTAACTTGATACCTGGGAAACAAGCTAGGTTATTTTTCTCTCTTTCCTAATTGCTTTATTTTACCCACAGCTTTCTTATTTGATGGAATGAACATGGTTTCCTTTTTTATGGGAGGGAAGGAGGAGAGGTTGGGTGAGGAGATGGGGCCATTTGCAGGCCTGGTGGCTCCACATTGAAAGTCCCACTGGTTGGCGTCGTCTTCTCCAGGAAGTAGGAGATGGGGCTGTCTGGGAGTGAAGCCGTTGGCGAGAGCAGTAGGTCTTGAACCCATTGCAGTGACCCGTGCATCCCTGTGCTAAGGCGCATGTGGCGAACACAGAGCTAAAGTAAGACAAAGTAAATCAAAGCATGCATCTCTCCTTAGTCCTGAAGCACTGACTTGGGTTTCTTAGAAACACAGCCAAAGTGCTACTCATTCTTAATTTAATGTAGTATTTTAAAACTTGTCATTTTTCTTTCTGAGCAGATAAAAAAGCCTTCAAATCTCTCTTTGTTTAGCAGTTGTATGCTTGAGGAAGGTAAATAAATACTGGAATGATTTCCACATAATTTTTTCTGCAATTGTTTTCTGGCCAGAGGTGCACGCCCAGCTTCCTCCCACAGTGCGAAGGCATGCCGAGTGTTCGCTTCCTATTGGAGCAGGTCCTGTGCCTTCCAAGTAATGGGGTCCCTGGGGGCAAGGCCTTCTAGTGCACCTCCCGCTGAAACCTGACGTCACTAACCGCAAAAGATGTTTTATGCTGGATATGATGGATGGCTCAGACTTGGTGATGTGAAAAGCCAGGGGGATGTTTAACACATCTGTTGTAAGAGAGGGTGAAAAATCAGAGATTCGACCTCTCCAAAGCAGACAGCTTTTTTTTCTCAGTTCAGATTCTGTAAAGACTAGCGATTCCTCTGGCCTTAGTTTTTGATTTTTTTATGGAGGGGGTGGTTCTGCTATGCATTTTGCAGGAGATGGAGGTGAGGGGAACAGACCATCAAGAACAGGAAAACATTCAGTAAAATTTACATCCGTGTTTATGGTACTTTTTAATTTCTCAGAGTGGGCAGTCCTCAGCTGAAGGCTTTCCTGGGCTGTCCTCTGGGTTAAGAAGCTTGCTCGTGGTGAACTAGACTGAGCTTCGGCTGATAAAAATGTGGGTTTCTCTGCCTCGATGCAGAATTTTACTTAAACTGGGCTGGAGGTATCATCGATCCCCCTTTTCCTTAAAAATAACTGAGAGAAAAAACTTTGTAATTGCAGCGGGAACCCGTTCTGATGGCTCCCAATTCAAGAGTGATCTCAGCGTCTGTTATAAATTATTCTTGCTTTAATTTGTGCAGCTTTCTCGCATCCTGCCCGTGACCGCAAGCAGGGGCTCATGCACAGAAACCCACTGGCAGTCCTAGGCTGGTCGCTGCTGCTTCCTTTAAACTTACTTGAAGCTTTTTAACCAAGGGAACTTAACTTCCATTATTCCCCCTTATTCATCAGCTCTTCTTTCATGGAGGGAGCTGAGGTTTTTCTCAAGAGATTCTGTCGGCATCTTAAACAAATTGCATTTGTGGTCAACATTATGATATCAGAAGCCTGAGTCACGAAAATGGTCCTTAGAGATGGAAAAAATGTGTCAGTGTTGAGCCAACGTTCCCAGACTGGATCTCAGTTTCAAATGCCGCATGCTCAGTCAGCTAGGATTGTGAGCAACAGTTTCTGCTGAAAGCGTCTACTCTGTGCGTGTTCCTGTCTGTGTGTGTTTTCTTGTTGATTGAATAGTCAGTGTTCTCAGTTTTGGGTCTTAGAAATAAGACATCAAGAGAGACTGACAGAGCATAGTTTATCTCACTGATACCCTACAATCTTCTTCCTTTTTTGACAAGGAGTATACCTCTGATGAAAAGTGTGGTCCTTAAAATATGGCCCTTATTTATCTTTTTCCTTGAAAGGTGAGTCAATAGTAATGACAAGTCTGAAACTGCATTTTGATCTCAGGCTGCCCGGGTATTGCTGCAGCCGGTCAGGTCCTTTACAGGGAGGGCCTTCAGGCACACACGTTTAGGAGCATTAAATCATCCATGCTGAATGCCACCTACAGATGGAGGGATAAATGGGGGGACTTGGAAAACTGAGGAATAATAAATCTACTAGAGAAAAACAGGAAGATGAGGGGATGAACAGGAAAGAGTAGATGCCAAAGTGGCCCATGTGGGGAGAAGAGAGCAGGGTCTGCCTTGGGGGAGCAGTGGGTGTGGTGAGGAACACACACCGTGCAGCCCGGTTGCCTAATTTAAATCCACACTCCCCACTTACCAGCTGCCTGGCCCGGGGAACGTCCCTCACCTGCCCTTTACTTCAGATTTCTCACCCACAAAATGAGGCCCATCATGGTGCCTACCAGATGGGTTAATATATTTAATTAGACTCTAGAATGAAACAAGGGTTCAGTATCAGCCATAGTTTGTTATCACCAGAAGTACATAGATCCGCCCTGTCTGATATGTAGCCACAAGCCACATGTGGGTGGGTATCGAACTCTTAGAACGTGGCTGGAATGAACAAAGAGGCACATGTCAAGGGTGAAATATACACGGGATTTCAAAGACACTACAAAACAATATATGAAATACAAAGAAGTCTTATGTACATGTTGAAAAGATACTATTTTGGATATATTGGATTCAAGAAGATATATTAGTAAAACTAATTTCATTGTCTGCTTTCTAGTTTTTTAATGTGGCTACAAATCTGTTCTAAATGGCATCTATGTCTTGCATTATATTTTCTGGTGGAAAGTGCTGGCCTAGAAACTTCCCTTAATATGGCAAGATTGGAGCAAGAAAATCAAACCCAGATCTTACTGGGGAGGGATTTTGGGGCTGGCCTCCTGAGCGTGGAAGGCGACGCATGAAGATGAAGATACCCTGGTAGAATTGAAAGATTTGCATCGTATATCCTTACACTTGTCCCTCATGACGAGGGTGCCATGACCTATAAATGGACTTTTTTTAGTGAATCCTATTAACTATTATCTGAGCCGCACAATTATGACACTCTTGTAGTTTTACAAGTTCACATATTTTCAGTGCAAACATTAAATATATTCCACAGCTTTTTCAACTACTTCGTTATTTCTTTTTTAATACCGTGAGCATCAAAATGTGGCGATGGCCTGGGCCTCTGTGCACCTCTGAGGGGCCATCCCACATCTAAGCTCGATACACACAAACAGATTGAACTCTTGATATCTGATGAATGCGTACATTCTTAATTAATTTTTATGCTTCATATGTTATGTGATCTAGGAAATATATTAACCTTCAAAAGCAACTAAAAAAGGCAAAAAATCATGAAATGGAGAATGCCTTGTTTCTAAAAGGAAAGGAGCTCTCTCAAAGTTGAGTCCTCTTGTCCCATGTCATTGCTGGGAGGTGGGTGGCCCTGCCCACAGGGACGGGGTGCTCCTCGGGGTGGCCTGGGGTTAGGGAGCCGGGCTGGCCGCTAGGTGTACCCCAGCCCAGACAGAGTGCTCCTGGGAGATGGGGTCTGGCTTTGACTGAGCTGGATGTGGCTTCCTTTGCTTGCAGTGAAATACGAGGAGTTGTACTGCTTTTCATTCAACCCCAAGCTGGATAAAGAAGAGCGAGAACAAGGCTGGATGCTGATAGAGCTCGGTGAGGAATACCGGCGAATGGGCCTCCCGAACACGCACTGGCAGCTCAGCGATGTGAACAGAGACTATAGGGTGAGTGGGGCATCTGGTGGCCTTGGCTACTTGACCCAAATCAAGTCATGTCCCATGGCTCAGCAAGACCTCTGCTCGATCTGCTTTAGTGGTTATAGTTCTGTGTAGATGCAAACGTGTGGGTGTCCAAGTCTCTATTTCCTACCTGCATCTAGAATCAAGAAGTTTTAACAAGGGCATTTTAGACTGTCCCCTCCACTGTCTTTCCCTAACAGTTGAGGTAATGGAAACCCAGAGAGGCCAGTGGCAGGCCTCACGGCCAGGCAGTTGGTGGGAGGGCCAGCCAGGACCTTGTTCCCCATCAGGTCTTTTTATAGTGCAGTGAGTGATGAGTGGGGAGGTCAGGACTCCCATGGCAGCTTGGCCCCAGCAACGCTCTGGACGCACTGAACTCGTGATTGGCACACAAGGTCACCAAGAGGCTTCCCCAGCGCCGTCTACACTTACAGAAAGGACTGTGGAGGGGATGGAAGCAGGGTGGCAGAATTAATTCCATATTCTCCTAAATGATGGACTGACAAACCAGGGTTGATTTCCCTGTTAATTTTCTAAATAGTTTAAATAAAGTAATGTAAGAACATTGCACAAAATTTAACAAACGAGGAGAAAAGGGGAAAACATCCCCCATCCGTTGCCCTCACATTCTTCTGTTAGGTTTCAAAGTTGTCCTTTAGTTTTTTTTCTCATCTGCATTGTTTAGTAACTTTCTTCTTATTTAAGTATGGGTTTCATTGTTTAAAATTGGAAAATACAGAGGAAAAGGAACCATTCAAATATATAGCACCAATGAAATCATACTACGTATATTTGCCTGAGTTCTGCTTTTCTTCACAGAGCATATTGTATTTTCCTATTTTATATCACTATGAAACATTATATAATATTACATAGTATTGGTATATCATATTCTGTCTACCTAATCTCCAATTTTTAAGCATTTAGATTATTGCTATTTTTTACTGTTTTAAATAACATAATGAGAACATTCTGGTAACTGTACTTGCCCACATTAAAGTTCTCTTTATAAAGACAGATTCCTAACAGTAGAATTTCTAGTTCAAAAGGTTTACACAAATTTTTGAATATATTGTCAAAAAGAACTATGGAAAGGTTGTACCAATTTACATAAATTCTCAGCAGTTGTGTATGAGAATGCTTGATTCTTTGTACCTTTTTCAGTAAAGAGTTTATTTCTTAAAAAATATTTTGACAGCTTTATAGTAGGGCAAGTGAATTTTCAAGTTAATCTGCATGCTTTGATTTCTTGATTTGGTAGCTTTGTATATACTGATTGACCATTTATGTATTTTATCTCCTGTTGAGTATTTCTAGTCACATGTTTTGAATCCTGATTATTTTCTTCACCTTACCATAATGATTATAATGGTTATCTATATTGCTACACAATTTTCCTGTCAGTTAAATGACTATATAACATTGCATCAAATAAATGTACTTTAGTATTTCTCAGTTATTAGACATTTAGATTACTCATAATTCTGGGAGCAATATCTTTGTGCAGATGGTTTTGACCATATTTTAAGTTATTTGCCAATTCCTAGTATCTATCAAAAGGCATAAAGGACTTAAATATTTTTTTTAGATTCCAAACAAATAGGCCATTAATAGTTTTGTTTTGGACATCTCAGTGTTGTTCTTTTTATCAATTTTAAATATCCCTTTTTCCTGCTTTTGACTTTGAATTCCACATATTATGATTATATTTCTACCATTTCTTTCTTGTCAGTATTTGTCTGGTAGAACTCTATTTATCCCAGTATTTCCAAACTTACTATATGAATATTTTGTCCTTTTTTGAAGTATGCAATAGTCATCATCATGGGGGTGGCATGTTTTGATATTTATAAAACTAGGTATGGCTAGATTCTGATTTTTCCTCAATCTAAAAATCTTTTAGTAGTAACTGGTGTCTGGGATATTGTCCTAGATACTATACTTTGCGTGTTTTATTAGTCATGTTTTCCCTCTTTATATCCATAGCTGGATAGTTTTTTCCTGTGTTTACCTGCAGTAATTTTGGAAGTATACTGTTGCTTTTCTTCCGTTGACTATCATTCACTTTTCAAAATGTTACTTATTTATTATGCCACACTTAGAGCAGACACAAAACTTTGAAGAAGAATAAAATGAACAGCAGGGACCCGCGCACTCCGTAGGGACACACACGGCCAGGACTGCTGAACCTCCCGATGTTCCCTCCAGATCACCTCCTGCTCCAGTGTCGCTGACTACAGTTCAGTGTTGTCATTCCCTTGCTTTTCTTCATAACATTGTACATTATAAATAGTAATATGTGCTATTATTTTGTATGGTTTTATACTTCTCTATGTAGTGTCAAGCTGAATGTAGTTTACTGAAAGTTGGCTTTTCATTCAACACTGTGAGGTTCGTTTTGTTTAATAAGCACATATATAGTAGTTTTAAAACTGCTGCCAGCCACTGGTCTAAAAAGAAGACAAATTTTAGCAATCCTTTGTGGTAGGTGGTGTTTTTATCCCTACCTTACAAGTGGTGGAACTCAGGCATAAACCAATTAAGACAGATAAGTTAATACTTATAATTTATTAGATACATATAACTCTCTTTCATCCATTCTTCACTACTGTATAATATTCCATTTTAGAAATATCCCATAGTTTAAAAAATGATTTATTCTTTTTCTTTTCTTTCTACTCTTTTGTTTTACTGTTACAAAAAAATACTGTTAACTGGCTTACATATGACTCATAGTATACTGTGGGTTTCTTCTTAAGGGCAGAATTTCTGAGTTAGAGGGTATGTAGTTTTAGACTTACTAGATATTACCAGATTCTTTTCCAAAGTGTTTGCATGGATTTACAGACCTACTGCCAAGATACGAGTTCTTATTACATTTAGATTCACCAACAGATACTATTGGCAGTGTTTGGTGGTATACCTACTTATTGAGATCCAGCAGTCTTACTTCTGGAAATTTATTCTGAAGAGTTAATAGCATTCACACACAGTGGTGTAAAGGCTACTTACTGAAGCATTCTTTGTCATAGCATATATTAGAAGAAACCCAAATTTCTTTAGTAGAGGACCAGTTAAATAATTTTTGGTCTGCCTGTATAATTAAGTTAGTGTATAGCCATTTAAAAATGTGGAAGATTTCCATGTACTGATAAGGAAAGATTGCTAAAGTATAGTGTTAGGTTTGAAAAAGCAAGGCACAATAAGATGAATACAGTGGGATACCTTTTACCTAAAAATAAAACCTTTCCATAAGGTTGTATGTCTTTTTTCTTATTGATTTCTAGAAGTTCTTTATATATTCTAGATAATGATCTGTTATCATTTATAGTTGTTGGAAATATCTCCTCTCAGGAGATATTTATATACTTTTCTGAGAGTATTTTTGATCCTCAGAAGTTTTGAGTTGTTAATGCTTCCTATTTTGTTTCATGGTTTAGCATATTGTTTATAAAAAGAAATTCTGGTCTGTTTGGTAACTGTTGTCTAAATTTGACTTTATAGAATTTCCATAATTATATTATCACTAATTATGGTTGTTACAGCTTTTTAATAAGTCCTGCTATCCTACAGACCAGGTCTTTCCACATCATTCTTCTGAATTACCAAATTTATAGATTATTTGGGATAGAGTGGACATTTTCTTGGTACTGAATTTTCTTTGTAATTACACTTAAATCTAACAAGCATAATCTTACACTGTGAGTGGATGTTTGGGCCTTTTTGTCTCAACCATTATAAAGTGTCTAGCTAATGTAATCAGAATAGTTTGTTGTCCTGCTAAAGCCAACATTTGCAGTGACTTTTTAGCCTTAAAATGAAAAGAAGGACAATCCAACTTTTGTGAGGAAAATTGGTGTCCTTTTTATATTAAAAAAAATATGACATACCCTTGGGTGAGGAAGAAAATGAGGTCAAGGCACATCTTGAGGAATAACATTGCCTTGGAAACACAGGTTCTTCCTATTTTTGGTGAACTTTCCTTCTAGAATTAGCACCACAAACATGACTCATCTGTAGTACTGAAGTCCCATGTTTGCAGGAGAGACTGCACAACATGAGTCATTGAGCATTTCTCTTCAGAAGTTGCACACAGGAAACCCAAACTAACCATCAGCAAGCTGTGTTGCAACAGAAAAGGTGGGAACCTAGGGAATTTTCTGATTTGACAAATATCATGAAAATAGGGAGAAAGATGATGTATCCTTATTTATTGCCGATTGAGAAATATAGTGAAAGTTGGTTCTCTAACAAATTTCCGACTGACAGCCCACGGAGAAGGTTATATCCGCATCTATTCCTTTTGCTTTTAACCTTACAGTTGAGAAAAACGTTTACTTTTCCTCCCTTCTTTTACAAGAGTTACTCCTTCTCACTGGTGGTGTCTCCTGGTCCTGGCAAGGAAGCTGTTACGCATGGTGGGGACAGCAGCATACACATGTCCTGGAACCTGGGCTCCAGACCAGCGCTGCCGTTCCCTGTTTGTGGGGTTTGGGGCAGGATCACTATTATCATCACCATCTGTAGCATCATCTCTATTGTCCTTAGTTATAAGACACTTGGTTATGATAGCCTAACTCTCCCAGCTAAGATTTCCTTTGGACTTACTCCTGAAAATATCTTTCTTTAAATAAAATGATTGGCATTCATTACTAGGTCAAAATTTTAATCTATTTCTCTTAAAGTTTAAAGTGTCATGCGAACCAGTAATTTATAACCTTGTTTATTTCAGTTGTCCACAGCTATAATTCATGTGTCATGCATTATTTTATTTATCTATAAATCACCGTAGGCTCATCTTTCACCCCATTACATCATAAATTCCTTGAAATAAATTTTAGGCCCTAAATGCTCAAGAAGGAAGTTGTCTCTGTAGTTGTATCTCAGTTCCTGACGACTGGTTCTCCAATGTGCTCCATGAAGAAGGTGGTCCTCAGTGAATGCAGAGTTCTGATGTAGATGCCTCAGATGGCATCTCAGATGGATACCACCCTGCAATGGTAAAAAACATTTACTCAAGGTGATAACCGGGTCAACAAAAATCAGTTTTCCCGGAAACCTGAAGTCCTTGAGGCCAGTAACAGTTTTGTTATTCATTTCTGCTCTACCACCTAATGTAATGCCTGGCACATAATAAGTATTCAGTAAAAACTCACTGGTAGACAACACGATTGTCCTATAATCATCAAACTTCAAAAAGACAATGAGTCCAACCATAAAAAAAGAATAATTAATGTAACATGAGAGAGGCACCAATTATCTCTACAATGGCAGTCATCCTGCAGTTTATACATGTATCAAAATGGCATGTTATACACCTTAAATTATGTGATGTTATATGTCAAATGTATTTTAATAATAAAAAAATGTTGAATGAGAGAATTACCAAAAAGATTCTTCTTGGCAAGGCAAACTCAGACATGCAGGCAATCCACTCAGGCTGATTTATTTAGTGAAAAGCAAAGAAACCTATTTCCTTATTCATAAAAAAAATGTGTAAATTATTTTTAACTTAATCTACTTTCATTGGGTTGAGACAGTCAATGTAAAGGACATTCAAAGGAAAAGCATTTCCCACTTTGAACTTCTCATTTTCTCTCTCTATTTTCTTATGTGATTTTCCAAGATGTTGGGAGGCACATGGAGTGGCTTCAGAATTTGGTGGCCTAAATGGCACTTTGGAGAGATCTTACGCATTACTTTCTTTTTCTTACTTCATTTAATTATAAATAACTTTGCAAGTCCTGGTGGTGTTACAAGGAAGACACTAATCCCTAGCTTACTGTAAACTTACTGATTTCCTTTGAAAAAGTGTTATTTCAAGAAAAATAAGTCTGGAGCAATGACTGCATGTCTCCGAACCTAGACCAGCAGGTGTGGTGTGTGTCGTCATGTCCTAGCTGACTGGTCAGACACCGGATTTGCATGGGGAAGGAAGTGTAGTGTTTTGTGGCAGTGATTCCAGTAAAAGCTTTTTGGGCCCAAGTAGGTCGGACCATGTGTTGTTAGCATGGGATTTTCCTACAGAGTGTCAGTGCCCAGCCCACGTGAAGTCTTTGGTAATCTTTCCAAAAATGTCTTTGGTAAAATTATGAAATCACACCGTGGGCTGGGGAGCATCATTTTTGTGGCCCATTTATCTCCTACTCGATGGTGTTCACCAGTCGGGTAACAAAGACAGTGGAGGCAGGCGAGAGAGGAATCATCACAGAGCAATTTACACACACTTGGGAGGCTTGGATCCCACGGTGGTGGGTTTTCATTCCCCTAAGTCCCATCTTTAACAAGGGGTAAAGGTGGGTGGAGACGGACAGAGGACAGGCAGACATTGCATTTGCCCTGTTGCTGTACACAGTTGAGGTTTCCTCTTGAAATGCCCAAGAAGAGGCTTGACTTGCAGGAGGTAAACAGTTGCTTTAGCGAAGGCCAGAACTGCCGTCCAAGTGAGCCTCACATTGCAAACGATTGACTGGCTGATATCAAAGCAAAATATGTGTGAAGCAACAAATCAAGCACTTTTACTGTTTCCAGCACAAACATTTCTGGGCAGACCTAATGGCTCATAGAACGCTTTGTCATAGCTGTTACCTGATATCATCCTCATATCGACCCCACGGAATCCTATTTCTGTTTTGTCAGTTGCAGGGATCAGAAAGCTAAAGCGCTCAGGTAGTAGGCCTCCTGAAGGAGGCAGCGTCGGGCTGGCCCTGGACGGAGAAGGGCTGGTCTGGGGAGGAGGAGGGCAGGAGTGTCCAAGGCCACCAGCCTGGTGGGTGCAGACGCAGGAGTGCGTGTGGCTTGAGCCCGGCCGAGGAATTTTGCTGCTTGTGCCTGTGGTTTAGGAAAGTATCCCCCAGTGTCAGGCTGTCTTTCATTTGAAACAGGTAGCTGAAGTTTTCTCAGCTTCCAGAATACAAAGTTACAGTTTGTCCCATTTTGATGAAAGAAATACTTATGTGTCGCTGTCTTGCCTCACGTGACGAGTCCTTAGAAGGGCCAGTGCACAAGGTCATGTGTGCTAAGGCAAGTCCCGCTTTCCTTTGTGATGGTTTCGGAGTTTCAGCAGCATCGTATCTGTGAAGTGGCTGCTGGTTTCCTCCAAATAGCCTCCTCTGTACCCTGGTCAAGGAAACGTCAGTGTGTGACCGAGCAAGCACGGTGGGCAGTTTCTTGGGGCAGTTCACAAAGTGTTACCAGATGGCCTAAAAATGCCCCTGTGTTTCCTCTAACAGGTCTGTGATTCTTACCCGACTGAGCTGTACGTTCCCAAGTCTGCCACAGCACACATCATAGTGGGGAGTTCCAAGTTCCGGAGCAGACGGCGATTTCCTGCCCTTTCTTACTACTACAAAGATAACCACGTAAGTCTCAAGGCATGCGTTTGTTTCATGCTTGCTTTGCTTGTTTTATCATAGACAGGCATTCTCTAGCAGCCTTCTGCTGTGTGTGTTTGCGATCTCCCTGAGGTCTGTGGATGTTGCTGTGTGTGGTAAGACACTATGCAACTCTGCTTAACCCTTCCCTGTATATTGGACCATAAGTAATGGGGTACAGTCAGCAAGTGTACCCAATTTTTTTTTAGTATCTCAGTATAAGAAGTCTTTATTTATGGAAAGCAGGTTTTATTTTTTTCATGTTACATGTAAAAACTAATATTAGGTTTGTCTGCAACTAACAGCAGTGGCTTGAACAGGACAGAACTTTATTTCCTCTCACGTAAAACCCCAAGGATGGGTAGTCCAGGCCTGGTGTCCTGGTCCCACACCACTCAGCCCTTGGGGACCTCAGCCCTCTGCTGCGCCGTTGCCCGGGCGTGGCCCCCACTGAGCGATGGGAGAGCTGACTTTAGTACCAGCCACCACCTATGTGCAGCAGCAGGCAGAGGGGGGCGGATGGTGCCCTGACGGCTTTGTGAGGAAGGCGCCCGAAACGGCCACGTGACTCTTGTGCACACATCCCATTGGTCAGACCGCACAGGGCCCGGGAGAAAATACAATCTTATGGGGAACCCTAAGACTCACAGCAACGAAAAATGGTGGTTCCATTGCCATGGGGGACAAGAAAACAAATCTGGGGAGACAAAGGTGGGCTTTGTCACTCACTTCAGACATTACTTGACTTTTCAAGCCAGATAATATGGTCTTGGATTCAAAGCTAAATGAAATTATAAAAAAGTACAACAGGTGCCCATGTGAGCATGTACACATGGGCATGAGCCTAAAGGCAGGAGTAGGGTAGGGTCTGTGTCAGATTTAAACTTGTGTTTTATAACAACGTTTTAGTTTTTCATCACGGTTAATTATGTCAGTGCTTTGACCAGGGACTTTTATAAAGGGAAATAAGAGTGCAGTGTTTCAGGTTGTCATTGCTCAGCAAAACCCGTACATGAACCAGGCAGTCTTCATACAAAGTAAACAGGTACAAATGATACAAATGTGCCGATCTTTCTTTCTTCCCTTCTGTGATTTTAGGCATTACAGAGTTAAGTGTGTATATTCCCACCCCAGTAGAACTTATGCTTTTGATAAGAATATCACATTTTTTTAGTTAAAATGCTCTTCCCTACATATCCCCTTGTTACCAAAGAGACACTTAAGATTTTTGATGGTGAGATGGCTTGGCTAATGTTGGGCTGGAGGAATTGGTGATTATATTAGGAGAAGCTTGAAATGCACATCATTCCATTGATTGGAAGTCCTGTTAGGTTCCTCTGATATATGTGCCCCTGATGGTCCATAATTCCCTCTGGATCGGTTTTTGTCATACGTGGTGATGCGATTCCTTCCTGGTCACCCATTGGTGAGGTTAGGAATCCTGCCCTAGTGTTACTGGGATGGATGAGCAGAGCAGTTTACTAGTTACCTGTACCCACTGCTCGGGGGCCAAGGCCACTGCCTGCCCCATAGGGCCACAGGAGGTACCCTCAGGAATGGAGAGGACCAGCAGGTGCTGAGGGAGGCAGGCTTTGTAGTATCAGGAGGACGAGGTGACCCCCGGTTCCCAAGGGAGGATGTGACTGGCTTGAGTGATTCCATGGGCTGGCGGGGAACCAAAGCCGCTTTCTCAGGGGTGAGCAGAAACTCCAGCTGGTCCTCTGGGAGAACTGTGTGACTCAGGGATGTTACCCATGGGAGCACAGTGTGGGGGGAACTTGCCAGCAGGCCATTCAAGGCCCTCCCAATTTTACCAGATGTCAGGGACAGCACAGAATACTGGTTTTAGGCCTTAAGTCAAGCATGGGTTATATAGAACCATCCACACTCCCTTTGTATATCAAACTGTTAACAGCTTTGCAGACCACAGACTTGTATAATGTCACTTTTGTGTTCAGAAGCCTGTGTGTGTTTGTAATATGCCCACCACATAGTAAGTATTAAAAAATGTTGGATATTTTAATCATCAGTAGAATTGTGAGAGGCTTTTGTGACAGTTTACAGGTGACTGAGGTCAGTACGAAATGCTGCCAGGAAACGGGCCATTCTCTCAACTGTGTGATGCTCTGGGGTGTGTACAGGGTGGACAAACGCACTCAGAGGCCACTTGCTCTACTCAAAATTGATAACTGTGTGTGTTAGCAGTCACCGAGACAATGAATTCCATTTGGAGCATAGCTAGAGATTATTAAGATAACTACAGAATATTAAGATGTAGTCTGTTTAACGTATCTGGTTTAATTGATGGGACACATTTCGTGGTATAACCCGGTTCTGACTTCCCTTAAAGCTAGCTCTCAACCTGGAGGTCACTAGTGCAGTTGTCACTAACTGGCTTCCTCTCATAATTGGAGTCTCACCAGTTCAGCGCGTGTAGGTGTGGTGTGAACATTCTCAGACAGCTGCTCACCGTATAAATATGTGCCCTTTTCCATCTAATTCTTCGGACAGGATCTGAGGACTTGCCTGGTGGGAGCTGTGTTAAGGAGGTTTTCTTTAACCCACAGTATCAGATAAAGCCAGCTCAGGGTTGTTGTCTTCCCCGTCAGAGCCCCCTCGGGGCCTGGGAGCAGCCCTGGCCCCCTGAAGGCCAGAAGGCGCAGTGCCTGGATGCGGTGCTGTGAGGGCCGTCCGTGGCCACTTGCTCTCAGCCATTGGGCACAGCGTGCCTCTGCTCCCCGACCTTGGTCTGGCTGCTGCCCTGGCTCTGCCTGTCTCCTGCCCCCGCACCAGCCCCCCAAACCCATGTCCTCTCACACTGTGCAGGCTCTCTGCGCACTTTCTCCTCCACGCACTGCACTTAGCTGCCAGCAAGAACTAAACAGCCCGGGAGCAACTCTGCCTCCCCTTTGCATCCCACTCTCCTGAATTTGGAACCCGGCAGCCCCCTGGGGTTCCTTGGGCCACCTCTGGAACTGCCCCTCTGTTGTAGAATGGGACCGGGACCCTGGGACAGTTGCTCAGTCCTGTGTCTGGCTAGTCTGTATTCTCGGTCCTCCAGCAGGTTCTCAGCTGGAGGGTGTGGTGAGAAACATCCCCATCTTCCCCAGTGAGAGGTAGCAAAGCTTCCCTTTATCTGGAGAAACCCAAACCCTAGCTAAGGGGTCCTGGGTTGAGCTTCAGGGACGGTTCGGCTGGGCTTGGACTCAGAACTGGGCGCCCCTCCCTGCACAGAGCCCTGGGCTATGCCTCGACTGTTTCCAGTGGAGGTTTCCTCTGCTCAGCCTGCCCAGAGCCCTTACTGACCCCCGCCGCCTCTGTCCTCTGACACAGTGGATGCACAGTCTCAGTGTAGATTCTTTGACTCATTCCTATATTTTATCGGTGACTTGAGTTTAAATGTTAAAATCTAAATCTATTAAAAGTACTTTGTCATGAAAGTATAAGTTTTACAGTTGTGAGGTTGTATCTATATTCACCTGCTCATGACTTAGAGAAATGTTTATGCTATTGTATATATTGCCTGACAATGTGATATACTCTGTTGATACTGCACTGTAGGGAAATTGCAGAATAGAACACACGCTGGTTCCAAAGAAACCCCTTGCCCCTCCTGCTTGGGCCAGGTGAGGTGTGTGCCAGCTGTCTTGGGGGCCAGAGTTGGCAGCAGCCCGGGCTCTCCGCACAGGGAAAACTCCCCCACTTAGAATGGTTTTAGGGTATTTCTGATGTTTCTACATGGGCTAGTAAAAATGATGGAAAGCACTGGAAAACATTGTTTTTATTTGTCTTGCCATTAGTGGTATCTTATAAATTTTAGAAGCATAGTTATTCAATTTATTTTTCTACTTTATATTTCTATCTTCCACAGGAAGATGAACCAATACCAGTGAAAAGGAAAGTGGGTTCGTTAGTTAAATGGCCTCAGATTTCATAATTTGGAGCCTGTCTAAGCATCCTCACACATTCCCCATTTTGTACACAGAGAAACTTCTTGCGCTGCTCACCCGCGTAGTGTTTCTCTCGAGAAACCGACCTCGATTTCTGGAAGTCATTATCATGGGATTTTTACCAGCGGGCGTGGGCGTCAATGACGCGGGCTCTGGGTGTGGAGGTGGCCCGGGGGCCCTCTTGGCTGCCGCTGCCGCAGTGCCCCGTCTCTCCCCTCTCCCCGCAGGCCTCCATCTGCAGGAGCAGCCAGCCCCTGTCCGGCTTCAGCGCCCGGTGCCTGGAGGACGAGCAGATGCTCCAGGCCATCCGGAAAGCCAATTCGGGAAGCGACTTCATTTACGTTGTTGACACTCGGCCTAAAGTAAGTGAGCCCGTTCCGATGCACGTCTCTGCAGCTGGAATCCCGAAACCGGGGATGAGGCAAAACTAAAAGGGCTCGCGTCACCGCTCAGGGTGCTTCCTCTGCAAAGGGGCCGTTCCTCTTTGCACACTCGGTACTTGGCCGCCGCACCCGGCTGCTCCTGGGTGTGTCAGGCTCCCGACTACTTCAGAGGATTTGATGTTTCCCCTCCTCGCGCTGTGTGGGGTACCTCGTGCATACAACCCATCAGGGTCGTTTAATTTTGGAGATCGTTCTCCTGAATACACCAAATCATTTCTGGTTTGTTTCTAAAATTATCTGTTGTGCTCTGACAATATGAAATTGACTATGGAGCATGCGCACAGTTCCATTTTTTTGCGAGGTGTTCAACTTTAATTTCGCATTCAACTGTGGTGATCTTTATCTGTGACTTGGAAAGATTTACAAAATATAATGTCAAGTACAAAAAAGGACACAAAATAATATGTAAACTACTGTGTTTATGTAAAAATAAAAAACAAAAAACTGTAAGTATGTAGAAATTCCTATTAAAATAGAAAAGGAGCAGGAAGGGTAAAAACACTAGCCTATTACGATTCCATGGAGAGGGGAGGATTTGGGGAGGTGGAGGACTTGTTACTTGTCTCTTGTTTGAAAGTGTAATTTCACGATTATGCATGTATTCACATCTTAATTTTATAATCTAATGAAACAACCAACGGGAAATAATATAACTAGTCATCAAGGGGTAAGCCAAGTGCATCGTACACGCACTCCCGCTCTGCTTTACGGGTTGGAACGCTGGGTAGCGCCGGGCCAGCACCATTCCCACTTTACTTTTTAGACCCATTTCTTTGTCAACCAGCCAACAGAATTTTCAGAAGGATATGCCAGGGAATACCTGGAAACAGACCACCTCCAAGTGCCTGGGAAATATAAGACACAATGAGGTGCCAGAGCGAAGTGGCCTTTATTCGGTATTATTTGTGATTCTCGCCCATAATGAATATACCCCTGGACTACATGCCTGATGAGAGAGGGAGGTGCATGTAGCTCTGTCTCTCCATATGGGTGTGGAAAGGTGTCCATGATAGATATGGAAGGTATGTATAATATAATCCCATTTATGTAATAATAACTTTTATAAAAATTATATATTGTTCTTTGCATTTAAAACATTGTGAGGGTCCATATACCAAACTGTTAACAGTGGTTTTTCCTGTGGGGTGTGAGGAGGATTTTAAGAAACTCTTACTTTATAAATTATAGTCAGAAAATATTTTTAATCAGAAAGACATTAAAAGAGCATGAAGATCTTAAATGTTAGAGTTACTAGATGACTCAGCAATTCCACTCTTAACTCAAGAGACATGAAAACATGTCCACACAAAAACTTGCACATGAATATGTGTTTTCATTAATAATAGCTCAAATGATGCACTGATGTTGAGAATAGGTAATTACGGCCGGTCTACACTCACGGGTGACTCGAGACACCGGGGGGCCTGCGCACTGGCCATGGCTAGGCACTCGGCCCTGGCAATTTTCACTGCTTCTCTGAGCCTGTTACATCAAACATTGTGACTCGTCGTGGGGGTCATTATTCTGATGGTTCCCCAGCATCACATCAGTGCCCTTTTCATCCCTTGACCTCAGAACTGGAGCGCAGGGGCAGCTGGGGCTGGGGCAGGGACACGGAGCTGCTCTCATGCCTGATGAGTGGGTTGGTGGCGGAGATCAGCCATCAAACAGGTGCAAAGACCAGGCACATTCTAGTAGATTCTATGTGAAGGGTTCTCTTCCTTTTAGATAATCTGAAAGCATAACACACAGGTAGGAGCTTCAAACCACTTGAAGATTTTTGCTTGAAAGATGCCTGGAAACCTTTGACGTTAGGTCTCTGTTTTGTGCTTTTCTCTCTGGTTCCTCGTGCTTTACCCCATCTTCCCTTTAACCTGGGCTTCTTTCCCTCCTCCTCATTGTACCGTCGTGAGGAAAGAGGGGCTGTTCAGAATTGCCTAGTAGTCAGAGATGCCTTGAAGAATGCCTGCTTCTTGGCCACATATACTGAACACAGTGAAGAAAAGGAAGGACAGGCTTCACTGACTTGGGATGCCCGCCTCTATCCTGTTTTCCCAGATTTAAATAAAGGCAGCCAGATTTGCCTACTAATTTAAGGGCTAGTGACCCGAGTGTGTACTAACTATGTTATATAAACATTCTGGGAAACGTGGCAGCTGTTGACCCAGGCATATTCCAGATTTAAAATGAATTAATCCAAAGGATTTGTTTTGAAGGGTATATTTAGCAGTAAGTGTGTTTACTCTTGATGATAAAGAGTTTGATGCTGATCCATCACAGAAAATTGGTGACTCATGTAACTATGCCCTCTTCCCATATTTCCTGGGGCACACACACTTCACGTGAGTTTTAAACTGTTTGCTTAGAGCTTTCATTCTTTTAAAGATCATGTCTGTTGATTTTTGTTCTGGAGTCTGTTAGGCTTCCTTGGTAGCCAGGAGACTGAGTCCATGTTTGCTATAGGTGGTGGGCAGTGGGAATGGGGCACCACAGGTCTGCTCACAGGTTTAATTAAAAAGAGAAAGGGTCAGGAGGCTGCCTTGATCATTCTTGTCCTAGCAAGGCTGGCCCCAGATGCTGCCTGTGCAGATAAAAGCCTTCTGAATTGCTTCTTGACATTAAAATCGAGAGGCAAAGGCCGTGAGGTCCTCAGCAGGTATTGAATATCCATTCAAAAAACAATACACATCTATACTCTTGAAGGCATATATATATCTGCTTGGATTTAGTGCTTTAAAAAGGCATGAAATAGTATTAATACAATAGCTGTTGAATTGTTAACTAAGACAGAACTCATTTGCTCTCAACCTCGTTCATGATTTTATCACTTTGTTCTGGGACTTTGCTGAGCTTGTAAAAGTGCCAGGTATCTTTCTCATTTAATCCTTAAAATAATCCTATGATTTAGGAGATGTTCTTCTTTTGTGGATAAGGTCTTAGGTGTAGAGAGGTTAAATAATCTGCCCAAGGATGCCCAGCTCAGGGCAGGGCCCAGATTCAAATCCAGACTATCTGAGGCCAAGCCTGTGCCCCTTGCATTCGACCCTGGTGCTGTCCAGGAAAATCTCTGGGGGAGCCCAGTGTCCACTGTGAACTCAGGAGGATCATGGCCCCCTGAGCACACACCTGGTGATGCTGGAGACCCCAAGCTGAAGAACCAGCCCCGAGCTCTGCCCTGCCCAGTCAGGCCAGGCCGGCGGAGCAGGAAGGCCTCTGGGCTGGGCTCCTGGCCGGCGCTGCGGGGGCAGGTGAGGCGAGCACCTGCCTCAGCCAGCCCCGGCCTTTGTCCCAGCGCCTTCTCCCAACAGCTGTCAGGTTAAGGCTTCTATTTCACCTTGTAAGCAATTTTTCAGTTGCATAACAGGGTGTCACACTGGATGTTTTGTTTCTCTGCCTTTGGTAACTAGGGTGTTCTTACTTACTGAATCCTGAGGGGGGGTCGGAGAGAATCAGGTAAAGGTATTGGGGTGCAATATCTTTATTCCTGCAAAGAGGAGGAGGAGGAGGATCTCACTTCTTAGGGGATGTGCCTGGGCAGCGCACAGGGTGAGGGAGCGGGAGGGAGACAGCAGGTGGCACACAAGGATGCAGGAATTCCCTGTGGGCCGAGTGGGCACTGAGGAAGGAAGCCGTACATGAGCCACCTCACTAGTGTTCCTGGGAAGTCTTGCCCACTGGAGGTTCCCAGCAGCACGTGATGGTGGGTGTTTGCTGGGAAGGGAGCTGGGGGCATCGAGAGAGGCCCAGCCAAGGGGCCCCTGCAGTCGGCGAGGAGGGACCCCGAGCTGCCCTGAGAGTCGGCCTCGGGGGCACAGGCCCAGAGGAGGGCTGCCGCGGGCAGGCAGTGCTGCCGCGAAGAGCAGCGCCAGCCGCCGGAGAGGATCGCGGGCTCGCCCCGCTGTCTGAAGAGCTGTTTGCCTCTTGGCCCTCCTCTGGGCCTCCGCTGCCCCTGATACTCTTCTAGAGCCTAGAAGAAAGAGGAGGCAGAGGGAGCAGACCCCGTGCAGAACAAGGAGGGAAAGAGCCAATTTTGCATCCTGGCTGGGGTTGGAATTTTAAGTGGAGCTGGTTGGCGAAGTCCCGTCTGAGCTACCCTGCTGGGCTGACCTGAGAGGGTAGGGAAGGGTGACTTTGGCGGGCACTCTGCAGACATGGGGGAGGAAATAAAACCATCTCGTACTGGCAGGTTTTCCCCGCAAGGTAAGGTTCTTCATTCCGCCCGCTGGAGGTGGAGGGAGGAGGAGCACCCTCAGCCCCGCAGTGCGGGGGTGCGGCCCAGCCCTCCTGCCCCCAAGGTCAACTTTTGCCCTCCTTTCCCAACCGCGTAGGTCAGCCCTGTCATTACTCAGGTGCAGAATGTACTCTGCTGAAATGTTACCCTCCAGCCTAAGGCGGTCTTCGTTTCTACGTGACCAGGCCGACCTTTAACTTGATAGCAAGATAACCCCTGACTAAGTTGCCATGGTTTGGGTGTGTTTGGTTGACCTAGAGTTAAGGAAAGAATCCGATTCCGTTCCTGCACACGCGGCCTGCCCACCTCCCGTCGCCGCCGCATCATTCGCCCTTCGTGTGCCCCAGCGCCCCCTCCGTCACGGGTGCGGCACCCCACATTTCTCGGTGAAACCGCAGAACCCTTCCTTAGCTGCCCACTGCCACGTAGTGTGACTGTCCCTGCCGGTCCGGTCCGTGGGCCCCGCAGCGAGGCCTCCCGTCGGCAGCTGCTGCAGCGCTGGGGGCTCCCTGCCCCCCCCCACCCGCCGCCTCTCGGCCTCCTGCTTCCACGGGACACCTTCCCCGCCCCCCGTGCTTCCCGATCTTCTTTCCTCGGGACGCGGGACCCCCAGACCGCACGGGGCTCCCGCCCCGCCGCTCCCAGTCCCAGCGCCCCCCCAGGGCCGCCGGGCGCCACCCGCTGCAGGTGGGTGCCGCCCGATGCAGGTGGGTGCCGCCCGATGCAGGTGGGTGCCTCCCGATGCAGGTGGGTGCCGCCCGATGCAGGTGGGTGCCGCCCAATGCAGGTGGGTGCCGCGTGCTTTCCCTCCCGCTCAGTGTAAGGCGGCGGCGACAGGCACGTAGGCCCTCTTTTCATTCTGTTTGATGCCTGGCACGCCGCAGGTGTTCGCTAAGTATTGAGAAATGAGTGGATTCTTTTGGTTATGTTCGCGAGCTTTTCTGTATCTGATGATGCTGAGATTATCACATAGGATGATCTTAGGTTAAAAAACAGGGAATTTTTTCCAGTCCCACCTTTCATTTATCTGTTGTGTTCCTTAAGCAAAAACTGAAACTGGAATGCACTTACCTCCATTGTTTTATCTATTCGAGAACTTTCTGTCTGAAATGAACAGCTTTTCCTCTGGTTGTGAAATGGAGTTCTAACCCAAAGGACAGGGCACCAATTTGGACTTACTGTAATAGTGTTTTCTTTATATAAGGGACACTCTATCTGCATATGTAAATAGGTCCAGGGTAGCTTCTTTAATTTTCTAAATTATAAAACTATTTCTTGAGTTGAGGGTTTGGCTTTTGCCACCTTATCATGCGGTCCTGTGACTTACGTGCAGACCTTGAGAAAGTACACTTGGGATGATAGATTAAATACTGCCACCTTCTGTTCATAATGAGAAGTACCACTGGCTTTCAAGAAGCCATCTTGTGTTGCTCCCTTGCTTTTAAAGACGACTACAAATAAATTCTCCCAGGTCATAGGTAATCAGCTATTTAAAATGTGAACATAGAATCCTACAGATAGATTAAAATAATAGTGCATTTGGGGTTTTATTCATTACACTGTTTAAAAAGAGTATCTTCACAGTATGTGATGAGTAGCTTAACTTGAATTATTCAAGATAAAGAATAAGTGTAAGATCCATTTGGCGTAAGGACACTCACAAGTATCCTACTAATTGTTTTATTTTAGAAAGCTTGTTGTAAAGGATAAGCCAGCAGCTCTGGGAAATAATTACACAAAGCAGAGATATTTTAGAATAGTAAGTTTCAAAAGAACAAGGTCTTTAGGCAATTTTAGGAAAATTTTCCCTTTAAAATATTAAAAAACTTTAAAATAGAAGTTGTCTTAAAAATAACACCATTTTAAAAATATTTTTATTAAGGCCACACCCTTTATTCTCATAGAGAGAAGTTTGCATTTAATAAATTTCTTCCAAGTCCCTTATCATTTAGCTAGTTTGCACTAGGAAACCTCCACTTCTGGCACACAAATCTGTGGCAACGTAAGTGATGAAAAAGCTCTCTTCATAGGCCTCTAGATTTAACTACAGGGGATGGAGGGAATATCTCTGGGGACGTAGCATCTACATGCCCCCTGTTCAGTTTAATCAGTAATTCCTGCTCAAGGTTTAAGTGGGGGATTCTTGTAGGCAAAGTAGAATGAGTCACCGTTCCTATTTGATGACATGTTTGATGGCAACTTAACACTGGAAGGTACAGTTTAACTTACGGGGGTTCACATCGCCAGTGCATCTGCTGATATTCCTAGGATGTCGTGTTTGGTTAAATCGGGGCCACTTGGCTCTGTCCCAGATTTCATACCATTTGGCGTCTCGGACGGGGACCTGCAAGAGGCATCTCTGGAAGGTTTATCTGCAGACCGCTTCCAACCTAAGAAAATGTTCCCCGTCAACAGATTCATGTCGGTGACTGTGAGCCCAGCAGGTGTGCCCACCAAGCACGTAGCTTAGTACAGTGTTCCAGTGATTTAAACCACACTGTGTATTTCTGCACATCATTTGGAGTGTTTTTATGGACATCCCTGAAATGTCTCGGTTCTTTCCTGTCCTGGATATAATCGGTTGCTGTTGTTTCACCCATCCCCACAGCTTAATGCGATGGCAAACCGTGCCGCAGGGAAAGGCTATGAGAACGAAGACAATTACTCCAACATCAAGTTCCAGTTCATCGGGATAGAGAACATCCATGTCATGAGGAGCAGTCTGCAGAAAATGCTGGAAGGTAAGCCATTTCCTGATGCACAGTATTTAAAACATGCAGCTAAATGTTTTAATGTCAAACGGAATAAGAGCATCTTTTGACTTAAAATTGTGTTTTTTACGGTGTGGCTGTTGCACAGTGTGTTCACAGTGGTAGGTGGGGAAAGTTGGGAAGATCATATTGCAGCGAACTTTGTGCCTTTTTCTCGTGTTTTTTGTAAGCATCATGGGGGGGGCAGTCTGCCACGTGGGTAGTGTCAGGCACTCCCCAGGGGAAGACTGAGATAAAAGCGCATGGGTATTTTTTCTTTTTGCGTCATTATATTAGTTTGACCCACCACATTCAAGGCCATTTGGAAATAAAGCAACTCCTACACTTAAAACAATGACCAGCCGCTCTTGTATAGAGATGAGGTTACTGAACTGAATCCAAGTGGCAGAATGGCCCCCAAAAGGGAGGTGTTGGGGGTCCTAATCCTCCTGTTTAACCAGCAGCCCATGCAACACGCCGGCATGCAAACCATTCCGCACACAGCAGCCCCGCCAGACACACACACACACACACACACAACATAACAGAGACGGATCACGTGATAGAGAACCGTTCTTGTGGCCAAACCTGCCATAAGCTCCTGAGTAGAGACCCGCATTTCAAGCACAACCAGCTTCATTTTCTGCTTATGCTCCACACAGGTGTAAAGGCCGAGGGAGGAAGGTGCTGTCACCGTCTGCCTCCTCTGGCTCCCGTGGGTGCCCTGCGGCTTTGTGCCTCGGAGCCTTAGGGCTGTAGGCCTGGTACTCCTGTGGACGGCCCTGGAAGGAGGGGTTTGGGGCTGGGGAAGTGGGCTGTCTGAACAGAAACTCTGGGGTCTGGAAAACTGCAGAAGCATGTTTTCTAGGGTTACATCTTTGTTGTCAGATACTCTACTAGTTAGTTCTCGGCTTCATCAGACCCACCAGTTGGAGCGAGAACATCATGTGGGGCCAGGTGGGGCCAGGGTGATTGAGGGCCGCCGAGTGGCCTCATTTCCCTTCTCTTTCCTGGATTCGCTGGCTTATCTCAGTCACTGTGAAACTTGGAACACATCCATTACCTTCCTTGGGACTCTGTTACCTGCTGTAAAATGAGAAGATTAGACTATTTCTGGGGGCCTTTCTAGTGACTGTCTGGATCTACAGGCCGATGCCCTGGTTGCAAACACTTGCATTGAGCATTTGAATGGTTAGAAGAAATCTCTTCCTGTGTCTGAAAAATATCCCGGCCCAGAGCTATCACCGCCTCATTTCCACATGAAACTGGCCGTGTGTCAGGTCCAGCGAGGACAGCCCAGGCATGAGGTTTGAGCTTAAACTTCTGGAGATTCTCAAGAGCAGTTTGACTGTCCTGCTATCAGCTATGCTTTTTACCTGTTGAAAAGTTGGATGAGCTCAGTGCTGTTATTAAAAAGATAGTATAACTTTACTATGAAGTGTTTGTCATTACCAGAGTGATTAAAAAACATTTAGGCTGATATGCTTTATATTTTATTTAGTAAGTTTCATAAGCTGACTTTTGAGAGCAGGTATTCTCTTCTGTGCAGCAAGTAGCTCATGAGAGTGCTTATGATGACGTTATCACTTAGCTTTAGTCTTTAAATTAGCATTTATTCAGTTTCTCAGGAACCTTTCCTCCTGTCCTGGGATCTGCGGTCTGACCCACTGCCTAGCAGGACAAGTAGACCCTGCGTCCCGGAGGGCGGGCTCTTCCACAAGGGATCATGGTTCTCGTACCTCGGTTTTCCAGCCATGTCGGCACACTCTCCGGGATGACCTGCTGGATGCCTTTCTTGGAACTTGACCAGTGTTTGACTATCTGTTTTTACCAAGTAAATCATAAGCTAGCTATGGAGGCTCGGCTGACAAGTGATGCAATCAGCCCCACCCTCGGAGGCCCCTTCTTCAGATGGCTGTCTCTGCCGTCAGAGAGGTTGGAAGGTTTGCCCTGCTGGTCACTTGGCAGGAGAGGAATGGTGCATTTCATTCATGATGATTTTTGTCTTCAGTTTCTTCTTACTGCTGTTACTGTATGTTAGAATAGCTTCTGAATAACAAAAAAGAGAAAAGTTGTTTGCATTCTGGTTCCTACTAACCCTGTGAGCAAGACCTGCAAGGTATTTCATCAGAACTGGAATCTAGGACCAAGTTCACCTCCTGCGTATGTCCTTTCATAGAGCTGATTTTTTAAACTTGGGTTTATATGTTCTGCACCAAACTGTTCTGTGGTATTCCTACCTGCCAAGGAGGTAATAATGATGCCAGGAACATAGCAATTTTGCAATTTATTCAGTGCTTTTTATAGCATCTTCCCTTTTGATCACATAGATAATGGTTTTTCCCTGAAATAATAAAAGGAGGACCTATATTTTCTTTTTTCTTTTTTAAATAGTTGATAGAAGAGCCTGGAGTAAGTTCCTTCCCAGGATGAGGAGATTGTTAGCATCAGATGTGGAGATAAAAATCTAGGGCATCGCTGGTGCTGGGGAGGAAGTCAGCGAGAGGAGGTGGAGGCTCACACGGGCTGTGTCACATCCAGGCCTCTGGTCATGGCATAATGTATCGCCTCTTTCTAAATATGTTTTCAAGGGAGGAAGGAATTTATGGGAAAGATGTTATGGCAAAGACTTCTTTCTTTTCCAGGCAGCATGATCCACCTTTTGGATGTTGTCTGAAATTTGCACTTTCTCTCCACCATGTTTCATGCTTGGATTCTATGTGAATGTTATGTTAATATTTATGGTCGCTGTGTAGTTCTCTACTGTCGACCACTTATTCATTCATTTAGTCATTTAACTGAAAATCGAGCAACTACTATGTGCCAGCCTTCGTCAGTATTTCCATTAAATGGTTGCATTTTATTTTCACGGCAATCATGTGCAGTGCATGATAATAGCTGCACTTTGCAGATGAAGAAACGCAGTCTCAGCAAAGTTAGACAACTCGATCTAAGACAATTTGTTAAAGAGGAAGTAGTCGAAACAAATGAACATACAGAAAAACATATAAACTTGCTCTGGCAATTAAAGAGCTGTCAGTTAAAACCTCAAGGTATCGTTTTTTCACTTTAGTTTAAAAAAAATAAAATAACCCAATAGTGAAAAGAATGTGGTAAAACGAGTACTTTAAAATTTTCTAGTATTATTTAAATGGGCTTAGACGTAATATATTTTTTAGCAGATTTCCTCCCCTTAGCGACTGATCCAAAATATGGCTGAAAAAATAGACATAGACTTGCCTATTTTGATAGTAGTGTTTTATTTGTAATAAATAGAATTTTGGAAGCCACCAGAATGTCCAACAATAGACTGAGTAAATGATTTTGCTCCACCTCGATAGAATTTTTGTATCCATTAAAAACAGTCAATGTGAAGACTATATGTAGTAACTAACATGGGAGATTGTTTCTAGTGTAAGTGAAAAATTCAGGTTGTATAACTGTATACATACTCTGATTCACTGTATGGTAAATATATTGATGGAGAAAGACTAGGAGAGAATGCCCAGAATAACTGGATTATCATGGAAGGACGATGGCTGTTTTTTTCTTTTTCCTTCTTTATTTACAAAATATTCTCTGTGGCACATAAGAAAAATACACTATTATCTTATAGTTTCTGTGGCTCAGGAGGTGAGGTGTGTCTCATGTAGAAATGGTAACCCGAGGACCCTGTGCTCTGGGTCTTTCCAGGCTGCAGTCTAGGTTTTGGCTGCTTGGATGGGGAAGAAACTGCTTCCAGGCTCACTCAGGTTGTTGGCAGAGTTCGACTAAGGGCCTCAGTTTGGGTGGCTGTCATCTGGGGTCCACCCGTTAAGTCCTGGAGGCTGCTCACGTGCTCTGCCGTGGGGTCCTGAGCTGTGCACAGCGTGGCACACATGACTCTCTCCATGCAGTATACCAGACAGTACCTGGCATGGTATATCATAAAGTGTATGGAGAAAGACTAGGAGAGAATGCCTGGAGTGATAACTGGATTATCACGGAAGGACGGTGTCAATATTTATGGGTCATTGTGTAATTTCTAGTTAAAAAGCTTTTTAAAACCCATCCTTCCCAGTGTTACATAACAAAGCAGGATCTGAGCCTCGTCCCTCTGTCATGTCACAGTGACCCTTGTGGGTCTGTGGTTCCCATGTGGGTCAGGCTCACGGATAACCACCCCACGGGGTAAAGGTGATAGAACATTTATGGAGTGATGACTCTGTACTGGACACTGTGTAAGTTTTTTAATAAGTGTTTACTCAAGTAATCATGCTATAGTTATTCTTAATACCCTCATTCCACAGATGAGGAAACTGAGGCCCAGATGCTAAGAAACGGGCAGGCTCACAATAGTCAGTGGTAGAACCAAGATTTTCACCTAACTAGTGTGAACCTACATGCTGCACTGTTAACCACCTGGTGTTACCGCCGCTCTAGGTGGTGAGCCGGGTAGAAAGTGCTCTGGCCTAAGTGTCTGAAGATCTGGCTTTCTTGCCATAGTTGCTGAGTAAACTTGAACAAACCTCATTTCCTGTAACAATGTAAGCAATGTGTGGTCTCTAACTCAGAGACTTATTAAAAAGGTTCCTTACAAACCGTAAAGTGCTTTCCAATGTAAAGTGCATTTTGCTTCGTCCTGGGAAGCAGTACTGTACTTTAAGCACTGAATAACATAGTGAATGAATGGCCTGTAGATTCAGTCAGCCAAGCAAGTATTTGACAGGTCCTATTCCTCCTCATGGGTGACTTTTCTTAATTTCATGATTCAGGAGACGTGGACTAAGACGGTGCAGCTTCAGGGGCCTGGAAGTACTTGCCTGGTGATTGTGATGTGGCCTCTCTCCACCCAGCACAAGCTGATGAAAAATCATTTAGTAAACCACACGTCAGACGCTGTGGGTGTTTTCTCAGCAAGCTGTTTTACAGAGACACCAACCTTGGCCTGACGGCAGAGCGGATGGACAGAGGCCCCGAGCCCAGGGATGAAGGCCCAGTGTCAGTTCAGCAGTGTGCACAGTGCCGCAGGGAAGGGGCCGCGCCGATTCACTTAGAAGGCCCCTCCTGTAATGACTCTTGTATCCCCTGCAGTTGTGGGCACTGACTGGGGGAAGGTTTTGTGGCGAAATCAGGTGGCTCCAGAGATCCTCTCTGATCTGTGCCTCGTGTGAGGGTTCTGTGGTCCGGCTGTCCAGAATGCCCATCAGGTGTGGGAAGGACGCTGGAAGCAGGGACTTTGCGCTGGCCATGGGGGCCCCTCTGCGTGTTCTTGAGGTTGCCCGGCTCCCTGCTCTGCCTCCTGCCAGGTTGTCTTGGTCGCATTAACGTCTAGAAGGGAGCAGCCCCTAACGCGCCCAACTCCAAGGTCTCTGTGAAATATTTCTGCTCAGAGTTAAGGCTGTGGCTATCAGTGCAAATGTCCTTTTTCTTTGACACCTTGTTCCTAATCTCATGTCTTTGTGAGGTGGTGGCTAATTAAGCCTTGAAGAAATGGCAGGGTTCAACCCATTATAAATATTTCATATTTAAGTTTTTCTTTTAAAGTATTTCCTATTACATTGCCCACCAGTTAATGGTATGAAATTCTACCAGGTAGGAACTAATAAAAGGCTACAAGGTTTAATCTCTTTTCAGTGCTCCATATTCTGGCTTTTGTTATTATTGATTTCCTCAGATTACTAACCTATTAGATGAGCCGGCCAATAAGATCTGGCTAAAAATCTGGTCACTTGTCCCGCAAAGTTTAGCAACAAGGCATGAGTTTCCACAGAAAACCCACTTTGCCTTTTACGTGGAACTGGATAGCTGCACACGGCAGTCCCAGTTGAAAGGCTTTTTGAGGAGTGTTCTGCTGGAGCCGCAGGTCTCCTGTCGGGTTTCCCTCATTTTCAACTAATGGTCAGTTGGAGGAAAGAAATGGATGACGTGAGTGCACCTTGCTCTCTCTGGTGGTGTAAGAGGATGTGAGATTTGGCCGATGGGTGCAGGATGGTATCGGCTCATCTAGACGCTAACATTCTAAGCACCGCACAGAGGAAAGGGTGTGACCCTTTAGGCACTGTGTGCTGGGGACTGGATTCCAGTTCAATTATTTACTGGCTGTGTAACCATGGGTGACTTAGTAAACATGAGATGAGGAAGAAGGTGTCAAAGAAAAAGGACATTTGAACTGATAGCCACAACCTTAACTCTGAGCAGAAATATTGGGAGTAAAGCGTATCCTCTGTGGCAGATAACGTATATAGGGTACCAGGCATGACGCCTGCTTATAGTAAGTACTTAGTAACCAGGAGTTACCACAGTTACCTACGACATCCAGTTGTACCTCAAACAGGGAGCGTTTTCCAGATACTAGGCACTGGATAGAAAAATTCTTCATTTGTTAATATAAAGTGAGCAGTTTTGATGTAGGGCAAAGAAAAGGCAGGAAGAAAAAATAATGCTTGCTTATGAGTGACCTCACGGTCACAGGACTGCTTTAACGGGACTGACCCCAAAGACTTAGGGTGACACTCCAGGGAGAAGACATGAGGAAACTAAAAGTGCTTTAATGAGAGAATAGTGGCTATTTTAATCCTGACTGCTTTATCTTGATGTTCACTGAGACACATCAAAGATTAAAGACTTGCACCCTCAGAATTACTGTTATATATTTAGTGAGTCATGGCGGCTGGTGCTGGGGTAACTGGGACGTTCAGGAAAGGAGTGCTAGAGTGTCTCCGTGACTGAAGGCAGACGTGGCTTATTCAGTGGCAGGTGAGCTGCTTTCCCCGCAGGCTGTGGTTGGGATCTGGCAGCTCAGCATTGGCTTGCCGGTGGCAGTATGGTCTGAGATGTGCCGAGCATGCGTAGTGGCAGTCTCTCTACCGCTGTGACAAGCGCGGTATTGCCCCCAGCTGCCCTCGTCACTGCCTTGCCATTTGCCTCCGTCTTGATCTTAGCGATCCCCAGGCCTTCTCGCCAGCGCCCACCACAGATGCGTTACAGCCGCCACAGCCTCCCAGCCTCCCCTTTCCTCCCAGTCTAGGCTTCTCCACTTCCATTTACTTTATGTTTCCTGTGTAGACCTTCTCACTCCTTAAGCCCTCATTTCAGTTTCTTGTTCATCCTGGTGCAGTTTGCTTACTGCTTTAGCTATTCTTTATTTGTAGAAAATAATCTGAAATTGGACCCAAGGGAACCAGATTCCTGTCACAGTGTACCTGCTGCGGTGCCCGCGTCTGAACCCACTCCTCCTCTGCACGTCCAGACCAGAGCACTTACTGTACATGGAAGGTGGTCTGCTCATTGCCAGCCAGCCACCAAGCCCCGAGCCCTGCATGGGGCGCCCGGTGAAACATAAACGGGCACATACATTTGTAAATTTATTTGCTGCAATTGTGTCTTTAGACACAAAATTCACATGCAAAGCTAAATAGATACCAGAGGGCATTTTTTTGTGAACCTGCTGTTTGATTTTCTTTAGGCCATTGGTAAATAGTATTCACACACATGTTGATTAGTAGCTGGATAAACTCATGCTCATGCACATGTGTGTTTGTACTACTTTCTATGCTACTAACTCAAGCAGTGCTAATATAGGCGTATAGAATTTATTGCTTGTATCTTACCGTTTCACATTAGCATCAAATTCTTTACAAGGAAACAACTATACAAAAGTGGCCTTCATGGTATAATTAATTGTACAGAGATTCTAGAGAATGGCATCATGAACAAAGCTGGAATTGTTTTAAAGAATCATCTACAAAATCCTGTTGGTGTCTTATGGAGGAGCAAACATACAGATCTCTCCAGTTACTGGGAAGTTCCCTATGAAGAGGGCTCACGCCGTTTGGCATGGGTCGGGAGGAGAACGCCACTAACATCAATACGCTGGATACAATTCAGTGCAGAGCTCAGAATTGTATTCTGTGTCACCGTGTGGGCTCTAAGTAAAAGAGCAACCCCAAAACAGGCTACTCACACATTTCTGTTTATAGACCATGATGAAGTCCTCTGGTGAAGGGAAATGATCATTTTGCCAGTTCTTTGAGGCCCATTTTATTGGTCTTGGTTTTCTGAGTCCAAAATTCAAAAGGGGCAAATCAGACATCAGCAGAACTCAGGCGTGTGTCAGGCTGTTAATTAAGGGAAGGCCAAGGTGCATTTCAACTTCAGATCTTAAGAGACAAGAAAGGCCAATACCACAGGATCAAATGGAGCGTCTGCATCCTCACTGATCGCCACTCGGCAACTGTATGGGAAGAAGGGACACTGGTGTGGGAAACAGCAAAGAAAGATCATCTGAGGCTATATTTCTTCCAAGTAAATTTCATATTTCCTCAGGTTCCATAATTATATATCTTTCTTTTTTAGTGTCATTTGTGTATGTTTATGGAATATAGTTGCCCTGTTATATAAGCAAGTATTATGAGACCTGGGCATTAAACTCCCGGTTAGGTAGTGTGACTCTGTAATATGTGGCATATGCCTCTGATGTCAGCTGAAATGAACTTTGTTCAGCAAAATGGTTTGTAAATATTGGTTTGGGTTTGGCAACAAGAGTGAACAAATCAGTATTTCTACCTTATCCTGAGTTTATCCAAACACACACACCAGTTCTGTTTAGAAATCCAGGCACTAATCGTTTGAGTCTCAAGTGTGCCCCCATCTGTCTCTGCATCTTTTTATCACCTGCAGCGCTGTTTGCTTGTAACGCTGCTGCTCGGCACTGCGGGGAGGACACCCTCGCGGTGGTTACCTTGCTGGAAAATCTGGCGAGGTCATCTTCCATTACACACGCAGCTTTAATGTTCCTGAAAGTGGAAATGTTAACCAAGGAGCCATTCTCAGTATGGCAGAAAGGAGCTGACCTGGCAGGAGATGCGGCCCCTTGCCCCTTGCTGGGTGAGCTAAATGAAGATAGAAGTGTTGGAACATTCTGGCTTGCAGTACATTTTAGGGCCTTGTTCAGGGAGGCATCTGTTCCTCTCTGGCTTTTGGCAGAGGCATCTCCAGGTCAGCTGGGAAGTCTGGTGTCTTTATTTTTAAACTTGCTCTCATTTCCATGCCTTGTAGGAAGAGAAGGTGAAAAGGATCATTTATTCTTGGGCTGAGCTTCAGAGCGTGGATGCCAAGCAATCCCACCAGCTCGCTGGAACTTTTTGAAATAAATGATAACACCAGCTAGCCCTGTAAGCCTTACTCAGTAACCAGAATGTTGAGCCTGTTTGGTGGAAAAGCAAAAAACAAAAAACTGTTGGCAAGAGTACGTTATCTGTGGAAGACTCAGGGGATTATCAGTTGAGTCCTGAGACTCTACGTGGAGGAATGTGTATATTTTAGGATTAAGTTGGATCACAGCCTGAGGTTGGACAAAAAGCCTGAGCAGCAGGCGCCCAGGAGGGTAAGGTACGTTCACAGAGGCCGCTGACCGTTGACCTTCCTGTGCTTCCCGTTGGCTGCGTGCTTGCGGGCCTGCAGCCGTGCTGGGCAGAGTCACTGCTGGCTGGGAAACTGCAGGAAGGCAGGGATCACTCAGGCCTAACTACGGGCCATCTCTCTGCTGCGGCTCGGAACATACACCCGGGCTCATGGGAGTTTTCGAGGTGTGCCCTGGCTGGACTGCTTTATGGCCTTGACCTCTGTGTGCAGTGAAAACCATGAGCAGCGTGTGAATGCTCTGGGTCCAGGCTGGAAGCCAGCTTTCCTTTCCCACTTCCCTTTCCTCAGTGCCCTTTTGCCACCTCATGCAAGACAAACACCCTTTACCAAGCCCTCAATTTTACTATGGTGCTTTATTCCAGGATGTGTGAGGGGGCACACAGGTTATTATTGTCGGGGTACATGTGCAAAAACATTTGAAGACTGCTGATCAAGTTACCTGAGCGATCGAAGTCAGTGTTGTCACATTCAAGCATAACAGAAGTCACAAGTGTGGGCAGCGTTTGTATTTTAACTTTTTTAGTGGCCACATTAAAAAGAAATGGATGAATTTTAATAATTACACTGTATTTAACCCAATATAAAATATAGCCCAAATATCATCCTTTCAACATGTACTCAGTATAAAAAGCTATTATTTCACATTCCTTTTTTTTTGCACTGAGGCTTTGAAATTTGGGATACGTATTACACTCACAGCGTCTCTCAGGCCCAAAGCCCCATGTTGAGGAGTGGCTCCCACCCTGGGTGGCCAGCATAACCTTGAAGTGATGGTGCATGGGGGCCGAGGAGCATTTAGACCGGCTGTACTGAATTAGGAAGAATGGCATGCCGGCGGCGGAGAGCTGCTGCTGAAGAGCACGAACCCTGGAGCCACACTGGTCCTGGCCTCACTCTCCGGCTGGCTGACCTTGGGATGAGGTACTTCACCTCACCGTCTGTGTAGTTTTCACTGGGCTTCAGCAAAGCACCTCTCCCCGTCTAGATCTGCGTGTGCTGCTTACGGGCACCGAGAGAGCCTTCCTGCCAGGGCGTGTTGGTGCGCAGCGGGCCGCACCGCCGCCTCAGACAAAGGGACTGTGCACTGAGCCACAGTGACGCAAGCTCCGTTCTCCTGCTGCGCGTCAGGCCCCTGGGGCTGCTCCCAGCTCAAGGCGAGCTTTTGGAGGGAAGACTTTGGAGTCTTGCCTAAATACACTCAGAATGAAGTTTTTTTTACAGTACAGCCTTTTGCTGGGAATCCTGGTGTTACTGGTGTCATCTCTGACTCAATTTAACTTATTTTCTGTGTGTGGCTCTTACGTTGCAGGAAATAGGTATGACCCCTGCTATCTGGAATATTTGAGGGAAAGACATACACTAAATTAAGTATTGTAGTTAATGGTTACTACAGATTCAAATGCACAATGCTTTTTAAGAGTTACCAAAGTTGAATCTGGGAGTTCAGGGTTGGAAAGGCACTTATATAATTTTAGTACACCTTCCCTATTTTAAACATGAGAAAATTGAGGCTCCAAGAGTTGAAATGATGTGTGCAAGGCTCTACCGCTAATCACCGACAGCCAGGAGGAAATAGGGCTCCTCACTCGCTGTGTGCCACTGCATCACGGAGTACCCTAAGATACACTGAGGCACACACACCAATCTGTGCAACATTAATTGTCACTAGTTGATGTATAGGACCTCTCAAAAGTGCTTTACAGGAGGTCAAACCCATAAACTTTGGAATGTAATGTTTGTGACACGTAGTTAGAACACTAGCTTTAAAGCTTTTTCATGCTTCATGTTAACTAAAAGATAAGCTCTAGAGATGAAATAGCTTATGGTAATATTAAAGAAGGGTTTACATCCCCTCCTTAGTTCTGTAAATATACATATCTTTAGATTTTAGCTTATCTTCATTATGTTTTTTTAAAAAATTGGAATGCAGTTGACATACAATATATTAATTTCAAGTGTACATCACAGTGATTCAGTATTTACTATGAATATCCAATGAAGTGATCACCTTATCTAGCTGCCATCTGTCACCATACAAAGTTGTGACATATTATTAACTGTATTCCTTGTGCTGTGCATTGTATCCCTATGACTTACTCATTTTGTAACTGGAAGTTTGTACCTTTTAACCCCCTTCCCGAATTCTGCCCATCTCTCCATCTTCCTCCCCTCTGGCAACCACCACACCGTTCTCTGTATCCCTGAACCTGTTTGTTTTTCTGTTGTTTTGTTTTTTAAATGCCATATATAAGTGAAATCATATGGCATTTGTCTTTCTCTAACTTCTATCACTGAGCATAATACCCTCTAGGTCCCTCTATGTTGTTACAAATGGCAAGATTTCATTCTTTTATATGGATAATATTCCATTGTGTATATGTACCACATCTTCTTATCCATTCATCTCCTGACACTTAGGTTGCTTCCGTACCTTGGCTGTTGTAAACAGTGCTGCAGTGAACACAGGGTGCCTAGATCTTTTTGAATTAATGTTGTTTTCTTTGGATAAATACCCCAAAGTGTATTTATTGCTGGATTGTATGAGGAACCTCCATACCATGTTCCATAATGGCTGTACCATTTTGTGTTCCCACCAGCAGTGCTTGAAGGTTCCCTTTTCTCCACATCCTTGCATATAAACTTCTTAGAATAGCTTTTGCTGCATCCCACAAATTTTGGATTGTTGTGTTTCCATTTTCATTTGTCTCAAGGTATTTTTAAATTCCTCTATGATTTCTTGATTGACTCACTGGTTGTCTAGTAGCATGTTAACTGCCAAATGTTTGTCTTTTTTCCAGTTTTCTTCTTCTAACGGATTTCTAGTGTCATACCATTGAGGTTGGAAAAGATGTTTGATTTCATTCGTCTTCTTAAAATTTGAGGCTTCTTTTGGGGCCCAACATGTGATCTATCTTGAAAAGTGTTCCATGTATACTTGAACAGAATGTGTGTTATGCTGTTCTGGGGTAGAATGTTCTGTGTGTATCTAGTAAGTGCATCTGTTCTTACGTGTCATTTAAGGCCATTTATTGACTTTCTCTTTGGATGATCTGTGCATTGATGTGGGTATTAAGGTCTCCTACTGTTACTGTATTACTGTCAGTTTGTCCCTTTATGTCTGTTAATAGTGCTTTATGTAGTTAGGTTCCCTTATATGGGATGCATATATATTTACAAGTGTTATATCTTCTTGTTGGATTGATCCCTTTACCATTGTGTAATGCCTTCTTTTATTAGTTTCTTTTTTAAAGTCTATTTTTTTCCTCTAATTTAAGTATCGTGACCTCAGCTTTTCTTTTGTTTCTCTTTGTATGGAGTTACCTTTTTCTATCCCTTTGCTTTCAGTCTGTGTGCGCCTTTATATCTGAAGGGAGCCTCTTCTAGACTGCATAAGCGTCTGTGACAGCTGTAGACACTCAGTGTTGGGGGACTGACCTGCAGGGTGGGGGAGCTTGGGAGGGGCTCTGGTGCCTACTGGGGTCACTGAGCCACTCACAAGGGGTTCTGGGGGGCTTGGTTGGGGAGTGCATGTTCACGAGGGAGATCCGGGACTCGGTTAGTGGTGCAAGCACAGCAGATGGAACAGTGTCAGAAATGCTGCTGCCCTGCCTAGTGCTGGACCAGCTAGGTAGAAGTGCCAAAAAAAAAAAAATATGGTGCCTTCCAGTGCTGCCATCCCTGGAGAACTTTCCCACAGATCCCTGCCTCTCTGGTACACATCCTAAAATTAGTCAGTGGGCCTTCTTCCTGTATACCCCTGGTGCTTTTCAAGCTGCTGCCTCTGTGCTGAACTTAAGAGTGAGACTGTGCACACCTTTTAAGAGCAAAGTCTTGGTTTCCTCCTGCCCTCTGGCTCTCCTGGACAAACACCCCATCAGTCTCAAAGCCAGACACTGGGGGGGCTGGTCTTCCTGGTGCAGGCACCCTGGCTGTGGAGTCCAGTGTGGGGTCTGGACCCCTGGTTCCTGAGGGAGGGCCTCAGTGGTTGTGGTACCCTCCCACCTGCTGTACGTCAGTGTACGTGACCGAGCTGTGTTCCCATCCCCCCCCCAAGCCCTCAGCTGGAGTGCTTCTTAGTGGCCCATTTTGAATATCTTTGCTGGAAGGGTAAATAGCTCTTCTCTGATGGACCTTTACTATGGTAGTATTCAATTTTCATTAATATTGGAATTTAAACCTAATAAAACTTCAAAACAGATGCAACGCCATCCATGACCAAAAAAAGTAGAAAAGCCTTACTTGAAGTGGTTCAACAGAATCAAGTTTAATATGCCTGGGCATTTATCTTGACTTGTCTTCCAGAAAATACTATAATGAAGGAATCATTAACAAATTACATGCAAATATGATGTAAAATGGGATTGTTTCATTTTGCCTTTATGATTTATCGTGCAGTGTGTGAACTTAAATCTCCCTCCATGAGTGACTTTCTGTGGGGACTGGAGAATTCCGGCTGGCTAAGGCACATTAAGGCCATCATGGATGCAGGAATCTTCATTGCAAAGGTATGTGATTGTGAAGAAAATAAGGGAGAGACCAGCCAGTGCATGCTGACTTCAGATTGGAGATCCCGTTTCCTCCTCAAGGGCCATGTGCCAGGCTGGGCTGCCCTGCATGGGGGCTGGCTTTGCAGACCTCCCGTTTGCCCTCCCGAATGTACATTCGTCAAAGAGTACAGTGCTCAGGGGTTGGTATGTCAGCACAGCAGTAAAGTAAAATACTTCCAAAATACTCTTTCCAGTTAGGCTTGCCTGTAGAAGATTCATCCAAGTATGAGTCACTTGGTGCAGAAGGCCTGAGGCTTTCCCCTTGGCAAACAGCTCCTCCTTTCACTGATGGCAAAGCAGAAGTCATGCTCCTGAACCTGGCAGGCAGCTTTCGTTCTGCCGCAGGGGGAATCTTGCTACAACTTTCATATAAGCTGTTTTGGAATGCATAGTCTGTGTTGTTGTTCAGTGTTTTGTTTTTTAAATATAAATCCCTCTCAGAGTTATAGGTAAAGACAATCATGTGGTATGCTCCCCTCTATTAGAAAATTCATTTACTCAACACTTACTGGCAGGCACTCCTCAAGGTGCTGAGGATGCATGTCGAATAAGCCAGATCAAGTCTCTTCCCTCACAGAGCTGACATTCTGGTGTGGGAGACAGAAAATGAATAAAAATAAAATTTCAGGTAGAGGTAGATGCTATGAAATCACATTCCCCAATGTTTCCTACCAAGATAGCTAAACTTGTGTGCATATTTGCAAAAGCAAATAGAAATTCTTACTGGAGCAGAGACTTGCTAACTCTAATTTTTACCTTTGTTTTCTCCTCCTTGCCCTACTCCTGGGCCTGTGAACTCGAATCTTACCCTTTTATCTCTAACCTCATTGTTTTCCAATTTATAATTTTTGTGCCTTTTCCTTTTTGGAAATGACCAAAGCCAGTGGCAGTTCCAGAATTTTGATATGGAAAGGCTTATTACTTGGAAAACTAGAGGGGAGGAGAGGGTGGAACGGGGCTTAGATGTTAGCACAGGAAGCAAACTTTCACGTAATCCCTGTGCTCAGTGGAGGTGGTCTTGGGGGCGGCTCCTGGGTATAATGGGGAGGGAAAGAGAAGCTTGAGCTTCCCGCACCAAGCCTTTCCTCGGCTCTGCCCTAAGTAAGATGGGGGCATGAACACTACATAAATGAATAAGCCGGTTTGGGTTTTACTGTTTTTCATCTGTTTCTTTCCTTAAGTCTAAAACCAAACCTAGGTCTGAAAAGCTCTCTTTTCCATAGCCATTCTTTGTGAAACTTTGCTGATCTGTGTTTTTAGGCGGTTTCAGAGGAAGGGGCAAGTGTGCTTGTTCACTGCTCTGACGGCTGGGACAGGACCGCTCAGGTGTGCTCGGTGGCCAGCCTGCTGCTAGATCCACACTACCGGACCCTGAAGGGCTTCATGGTGAGTGTGGCCGCCCGTCCTCTCCCATCAGGGCCTCAGAGGCAGTGGACCTCTCTTTGAGCAACTATTGGCAACTTGCTCTGTTTTTCCTCATTGGTGTTATTTTTCTCTTATTAGATCAGCAAGATTAATTAAAGGGAAAAGGTGTGAAACAGGCTTTGAGTAAAGGTGTGAATGTGGTGTCAAACAGAAAATATATTCAGGACTTTGTAAAACAGTGAGTTTTAGACATCATTTGCTCATTAAGTATTTCAGTAGGAGGTACTGTGAATATGTAACAGAAAAGACTCTTCAGAAAAGATATTTGGAGAAAAAATTTTCTGTATTGTATATGCAAAAATCCATTGGGAGGAAAAGCTGTTTTCACTTGCTGCTTTTATTAAGTAGTCCTTAAAATTCTGGAATGAGCATAGTGAAAATGTCCGTGTTTTGGCATTCTTTCCTGAAACGATGAATCCATCCTCTCCTAGATTTTGTACCTTTTAGGTATGAATCGCACGTGGCATGTCGCTTCCAAGAGCAGAATATTTGTGTAGTTGCCTGGAATGGTGAAGCTCTGGCTAAGCTGTAACTTTTTAAAAAATGACTGCAGGGGCTCCCTAGTGACTAGATTACCTGGCTCCTGCCTGCTGAACTATGGTTTGGTAGAAAGTACTTCAGTGAATCCTGGCTTCATGCTAGACACGCTGACAGCAGAGCCTGGAAGGGATCTCTCTACTGCTAGGCATCCTTTATCAGGTCAGATCAGCTGACAATCTGGGGATGAGAGAGCAGAGGTAGGTTTCCTCTCTCGGGCCTTTTCTTTTACTTTTTTTTTAAAGTGTCAGAGAGCTTCTGGGCAGGGTGACAGCATTGAGGCTTCAGAGTGACACTCCTGCTTCAGACTCCTCCCTTGGACTGAGGTTAGGAGGGCTGATTCCTGCACTGACATCTGGAGCGAGGGGTTCTGAGGCGCACACTTGCGTCTCTTTCACACTAACCATCCTTTACTACTATTGACTCTAATTCTGCCCCCTTAAATTTATGAGTTGTCAAGGAAAAACTTCAACTACTCCATATTTTGTTAGGGGAAACCTCTGGCCTTTTACAGCATTGATGATATTGATGGAATTGTGCTGCGTTATTTGATTACATTTTTTTCAAATGCAGGCAATTTCAGATTATAAACTCAGGTTGCCCTTCACTCCAAAGAACTGAAACTTGATACATCCCAAACCCCCATCATCTTAGAATTCTTGTAATGTGTAGTAAAGATCACTGGAAAACTTTCCTTATTGTTTCCTGTAAAAAGGATGATATATGATATTATATTGACAGGCAGCATTACCTGTTGGTTAAGGGGTGGGCTTTGGTGTGGAAAGAGCTAAGTGACGAGGTGATATCAAACACTTCTTGGTAGTTTGATCTTAGGTGAGTACTGAACCTTTGTTTCCCTTTCCGTAAAATGAGTGATGATAATACAAATCCCACAATGAAATGAGATCATGCATGAAGCAGTATGAACAGTGCCTCACAAGAAAGCACTCGGTGGTGGTATGACACTTTTCATACATCCCTTCCCATTTGCATTTCCTACGGACGAATTCGCCTTTGCCCTTCCGACATGCATCTCTATATTGGTGGATAACGAGTGGATTCGTGTTCAGGTTACCCAACAATAGTGACTTATGCTCCAAGAAACTTGTTATAAAAAAGGGGACAACAGGCCCAAAATGGAGTCACTGGTGCTGAGCCCCGTCATCAAACCAAGACTGAACATTTGACCTAATTGCAGTTTCAGCCCCCAGAAATGGAACCTTAAACCAGGTGACCTGGAATTAGTTGAGCCGCCTTACATTTCCCTCAGGAGAGCTACCTTGCTTGCAACAATGCATTCTTGGCTAAAATTCATTTTTTTACCCCCTGTTCTGCCTTTAAAAACATTTCCTCTTCTACAGCTTGGTGGAGATCCTTTCTGTTCCTAGATGGGATGCTGCCTCATTCATAAATTGTTGAATAAAGCTATTTGATCTTTAAATTTACTCAACTGAATTTCTGTCGCTTAACACTTTGAATTCTTCGGCATTACTGGCTGTGGTCTTATTTTCCTTGTTTCTCTCTGTGATATTTATATTTTCTTGTACAGGTATTAATTGAAAAGGACTGGATTTCCTTTGGCCATAAGTTTAATCACAGGTAAGAAATATTTAAAAATCTGTTTTGAATGTTTAGGAGAAAAAAATCTGTTTCTGACGTTCTCAGTTGAGTGGGGAGAAATAGCCTTATGTTTTAGTTTGTGTATTTTATTCAGATAGACAGAATTTGCATGTATAACTTGTATCACAGATAAATTGTTCCAGAAGAGACAGAGAATGCTTGTTTACCGACCTAGAAAGGATCGGCCCTCCCTCCTACCATTTGATTACTAAATTATTCCATTCTGGAGTGTGAACTTTCATTTCAAGCTGGGAGTTGTGAAATGCCTGTGGAACAGTTCCTTCACACTGGAGTTAAACTGGGCTTGTCCTAAGACGGCACTGTCACAGGTGAAGTGGGTCCCAGCTGTCTCTGGAGCAGTAATGCAGGACACCGGCCCAGGTTTGCGGCCACAGATGCAGGCTGTGGTATTTACTAGCTGTGTGGTCTCAGACACCTGTGAATGGGATATCATCCCTATACTACAGGGTTATTACAGAGAGACTTTTAAAAAGGCAGACGAGCTCTTTACCTGGCCAGTGTACTAGGCTTTCAATAAACAGAAGCCATTGTTTTTGGAGCCACCAGCCTTCTCTGTTTAGTGTTGATGATAATGCCTGACTGGGGGTGTGGTGTCCCCTAATCTCTGCATGTTAAATGTAGGTGGTATAGTGTAGTCCTTGGGTGCCAAAAATCAAGTTTAGGCAGCGTGCTAATAATCTAATTAGATATTTTTGACTGTTTCAACTTATTTTCTTACAGATTTTGAGTTCATCGAACTGCCTTTATTTTTGTAGTTTTTGCATTTAGCATTGAGCATCCCCGCTGTGGCTTTCAAGAACTGTTTTTGTGACAATATTTTTCCAGGAAAGCACAGTTATTCCATTTTATGAATGAGAAAATTAAAGCCCCCAAACAATTAAGTAACCTTCTAAAGATCACGTTGTCATTTTTAGTTTGGGGACGGTACTCCCTGTTAGGGTCTCTGAGATGGAGGCTTTATGGAATACGGAAATAGCTGAAAACTAGTTGGATAATTGTTTTATAAGGAAAGAATATATTAGATAACCCTTTTCAAAAGCTACCAAAGGTGAGTGAAACTGATACTTTCCAGTATCTAAGTTTCCAGTTTCTTATGTTCCCACTCTCAGAAAAACCCTGAAATTGATCCTTGCTCATTTCTATTCCTCAAGTTGATTGTCCACTGCTGTGGAGATGGCGTTCCTAATGTACTTTGTATTTCATGACACCCAAATCACCCTTTTGGGTTCTTTCTGAAATTCCAGTAACAGTGTAAAGGACTAGGCAGTCTTCATTTTAAAATAAATACAAATGTGTGGAAGATTCTGATGTACTCTTGAAGACCTTAGGGGAGATATAAATGTGTATGGGAATCTGAGCTCACATAGAAATAAATTATGTGACAAGTTTTAACACTGCTCTAGAAATGAAATATTCCTAGAAATTTACAAAACCACAATTTTTTGAGTTTTCTTGTTCATTCTTTCCCAACAAAAGTGAGAAACTCTGGGAGATTATTTCAAAAGTTCTGATGTACTTTTGAAATCTGAATTAAAGGATGCTTTTTCCATGGAAAGCTTTTGAATTTTATCTCTAGCACTAACTCTTTTCTTGAAATTAGAATTTAAAAAGTTATTCTACTTTTTCTGCATCCCAGAGTTTATAAGATAAGACTTATTTAGGAACCAGGGGTGCTTCTATGATTGGTTTTGCATGTATAGCTTTCTATTTACAAAACAAAAAGTTCTGTAAAGTCTCCACCTTTTGCTTCCTAGGTATGGCAATCTAGATGGTGATCCAAAAGAAATCTCTCCAGTTATTGACCAGTTCATTGAGTGCATCTGGCAGCTGATGGAACAATTCCCCTGTGCCTTTGAGTTCAACGAGAGGTTTTTGATTCACATTCAACATCACATTTATTCCTGCCAGTTTGGAAACTTCCTGTGTAACAGCCAGAAGGAGAGACAAGAACTCAAGTAAGTGTTTGAATGGTATTTAGTCACACATTTGTACTGACAGATTAAAATTATTCTGTCCCGCCATCCCTTCATAAAAGGCTTAATGTCATCAACTGATGAAGATCATATAGACTTCCCCCAGTTTCTGCCTGATAGCCACAGACAGGCTGGCAGACTTGGCACACTAATACTGAAATGAAACCACCTGGAGTCAGAGGAAGTGATTTTTGCATTTTGAAGGGAAAAAGGTTAGACATCTTTGATTGATATGCTGTCTTACTAAGAAATGCAAGTAGTAAGCAAATTTGAAACTCACGCTACTCCTTTATTCAGATTAAAGCTATTGCTTTTATCCAGTGGGAGAAAACATGAATCTAGACTTTGCTGTCAAATTTTTATAATTTATTTTAAAGTGATTTATGAGCTGCAAATGAGAACATTTCTGAAGTTTTCATAAAAAAATGGTTTTAACTATGATGTACATAATCAGATTTAATTTTGGAAATGATCAAATAAAATAGACCCTAGCAATTCATTTCTTCCAAGGAACTTCAAATGTGATTCCTGATAAATGATGATTTAGTAGCAGAGCACACCCTTGAAGCTCACCTGTTTTCCCAGACAGTTTTGTGTTTTGTTGCAACAGACCAGCCAATTTAGTGGGCTTGAATCCAGGCTGTTCCACTCACTAGCTGTGATTTGGAAAACTAATTTCTCCAAGCCTCCGTTTCCTCATCTGTACAGATCTCATAGGAATTCAATGAGGATTAAATGAGAGGAAACATGTGCAGCATTTGAATAGTACCTGGAAAATAAAAGTTAAATGACTGTTTGGGGAAAAATCCCCCCAAAATTAGTTTTATTTCATGCTCAGAGGAATTACACATCTTATTGAGGCCAGTCCAGATTGCAGAAGAGTGGAGACTATTATAGCTTTTCTGCTGTATTTTTAGCCAGTGGATAACCATGAAGACAAAGACTGTAAATTTCCTTGCTATAGAAGAGGGGCACGGATATTCAGATAACAACTCCTGGTTCCTTTCCAGCTTTGATATTACATATCTACCATTTATAAGAAACAAGATAGGTTCTTTTCAGGGTCATTTTCTTTTTAATAGAATTCAAGAAAGAACATACTCTTTGTGGGCTTACCTGTGGAAGAATCGGGCCGACTATGTGAATCCTCTGTTTAGAGCTGATCACAGCCAGACCCAGGGACCCCTTCATCTCCCCACAGCGCCATGCAACTTTATGTACAAGTATGTAACTCTCTAGGACCTTACTAGGTATGGTTATGAACTCAGTTCTGGTACCATTTTTCTATCTGGAGGCCAAAGTATATGAATCACTGAGCTTCAAGGCTTTTTTGGATGCAAAACACACCAAAGGCAGGTGCTTAAATATTTAATCTGGTGTTTTTGCCAGTGTCTCCTCTCTCTCCCCTTTCCTCCTGATATGGAATTCTCTGTAGAAATTGATGTTTTATAACAGTGGCATCTGAAAATGTAAATGTATTTAAAGAGGAGGAAGGAAAGAAAAGGGCTGAATAAACCTTGAGTGCCCTGTAAGTTAAATGTGCAATGACAAGTTTAAATAGCAGAACCAAGCTTACCTTCTTTCTCTGCTGAATCAAGTCCTGGTGGAACTATTTCCCATGGAAATAAATTATTTTAAGACTGTCTAATATATATTAGGATAGGGACATCCTATGGGTTCTACTAGGTATGCACAAGGTATAATATGTTACATTTTGTCCTTTGGCTTCTCTAGGCTTGTATGATATGGAAAGATTAGTCAGATTGGCAAAGACAAACTTACACAGAATAAACCGAGAAACCCCACCCTAACACACACTTAGCAGTTTCCTTTCTCTATTGTTTTGTTCTTAAATATTGCAATCTATTTCCCCAGAAACGTTGTAGCAGAATAGTAATTCTGTCATACTACAGAAAAAAAAAACCTCCATGGTTTGTATAAAACAGCAGTTTTGAGAACTACTGAGACAGGCTGCAATCAATTGTATTGCAACTAATTTGTTATTAGTAGCCAGTTAACAAATATATTGAGGATCTAGCACTGTTCTAGGGACTTTGGATAAACCAACAGATGACACTGAGCCCCTGCCATCAAAGTACTTCTAAGTAAAATGTGGGTCTATTTTCTAAGATAAAGGACAGATTTATTGCAAATACAAATTTTTGTGATAAGAACCAAACTGAAAACCTCAAATTTAAACGTTTACTTTAAAGCTAGGAGCCATTTTCTTAAACCAGAAAAAATAAAATGGTTAACATGTGCTACTTCATTTTAGAAAATTATAGTATATTCCTAATTCAGTGCCATATATACAAGTGATTCTCCATGAATTTACTCTCCCCAAAAGGAGTTTACTGACCTAAGAAAAAGAAAACATCAACAAGAAATCATTGCCTTAAGTGAGTGGCTTTTTTGAGCCTGGAATTTGCATTTGGTTATTACTGGGGTGGGAGGACTGTGGTAGCACGGATGCCTACAAAGATGAGAACACGCAAAGCTCTGCCCTTCTCCCCAGGTTTTGGAGCGGAATGTATAACCGCTTTGACAAGGGACTGCAGCCTCGGCAGTCGGTCACAGATCACCTGACAGCAGTGAAAGAAGAGACCCAACAGCTGGAGCAGGAGCTAGAGGCCCTAGAGGAAGTAAGATATGCTCACTCTTGTCAAACTAGTTTCTGTGCGTATTTCTCCATCACAGCTCCACGAAAGCGTCTCATGACTCAGAATGTGTGAAATGTAGCAATACAGCTATTTGTGTTTTTAGCCAGTGGATGACCTGAAGCCATCCCACCAGGTGAGCTCCCCAATAACTGAAGCCCAAGACTAGGCTCTACAAAGTTAGTTTTACTTACTTACTCATCTGAAAGATAGCCAAGCTTCCTAAGATGCTTAGGAGTCTATGAGTTTATTCCAGTATTCTCTTTATTAAAATACTAGTAATAAAAAAATTACTTAGAATATCTAAAAATACCTTAAAAACTGTTGGCTCTGTTTTCCTAATAACAAAGTCAGAACTCCTTAGCCTAGCAGTTGAGATTTTCCCACAATCCAGTCTCCTTACCTTTCAAATTTATTCTCTGCTTCTTACATATAACTGACACTTTCCTACCTTTGTGTTTTTCTTACTATCCCTCCTGCCAGAACTGCTCTGACCACAACCAGCATGTCCACGTTTAATTGCTTCCCAGTCCTGTTAAAATGCTCCTTCTTCCCTGGAACTTACTCTGAGCTCTTCCTTCTAAAATAATTTTTGCCGTTTCCAAATTCCTCAATTACATGAACTTCATCTCTAGTCTGTTTTTCATATTGCCCCACACAGTGCTTTTGTATGCAGTAAATATCAATGTTTTTTGCATGAATATGTGATATTTGATCTTATAACATCTCCCTTGCTGACACCAAAGGATGAAATGTATTTTGAAAAACCCAAATATCTATCATCTGATGAATGGATAAACAAAACAGAATATTCATCCAATGGATGATGATTCAGCCATAAAAACAATGAAGCACAGATATGTGCTACAATGCGGATGAACCCTGAGAACATGAGCTAAGTGAAAGAAGCGAGACATAAAAGGCCACATTATATGCTTCCATTTCTATGAAATAATCCAGACCAAGCAAATCCGAAGAATAGAAAATAGATTAGTGATTGCTAGGCTGTGGGAGGGGGTTTCTTTGGAACTTGCTAGTAGTGAATAGTGCATATAACCTTGTATTAAGTGTACTAAATAAACCAATGTACTAAAACCACTAAATTGTTCACTTTAAAAGGGTGAGTTTTATAGTGACTTACTCAACACCTCAATCCTGATTTTTAAGAAGTGTACTTTGGTTTCAGAGGTTGACAATTACTAATTACCAGGTGTTTTACCTATATACTGTATCTATAAAACAGTGTCTGACAGAATCTAATTACTTTGTCCAAAGTCTAGCTTTGAACAGAAGTCCATCTAAATCTCACAGTTTTAACATTACACCCAGCTGGAAGGCTAAAGCAATGCATATATAAGAAAGATAAGTGATTTATGACTTTTTCCTGAAATTCTTTTTTAGAGACTGGAAAAAATCCAAAAAGTCCAGTTAAACCACACTAAAGTGAAGAGTAAGCAAAGTGAGCCCAGCAAACACTCGGGGTTTTCCACCTCAGACAACAGCACAGCCAACACTCCCCAGGACTACAGTGGGAATATGACATCATTCCCGTCCAGGAGCCCTTCCCAGGGCGATGAGGACTCGGCTCTGATTCTGACTCAAGACAATTTGAAAAGTTCAGATCCGGATTTGTCAGCCAACAGCGACCAAGAGTCAGGGGTGGAGGATCTGAGCTGTCGTTCTCCAAGTGGCGGGGAGTGTGCGCCCGGCGACGACAGTGGCAAGGACCGGGACTCCGACGAGGCTGTGTTCCTCACTGCCTGAAGCAGCCCCCTGGAGCTCCCCAACGGAGGGCCCACAAGAAACACTTTCCAAGTATAAGGGAACAGTGCAATTTAAAAAATAATTCAAGAAATAGCATGTGTCATCAAGAATTATAAAATGTAGCAATGAAAAGGGGAGAAGTCCAACCTTTAGTTTCTTTAGATGTTAAAGAAAAGGAAGTAGCCATTTCTTTTATCAAATGAATATAAGGAAATAATTCCTCATTTCAATAATCATTCAAGACAATGAAAGACTTATGCACTACAGAACAATAAATCCTACCATCACTTGAGGTTATCGATACAAATCTTGTCCTAGCATGCATCTGCTCAAAACTGCCCTGATGCCCTTCCTTTGCACCTGTTATCATCGTCAATCCCCTTACTTCACTTTCAGGTACACATTTTGTTTTCTATTCCTCAGTTATAATGTTTCTAATAACTAATAACAGCATGTTGTTGCAGGCACCTTTTTTGGTTAATAGATACACCACTGTAATTGCTTACCTTTGAGGTTTAATGATTAACTCTTCCTTAGACAATATATTTTGAGTTATAATTTTGTCTTTTTCTAGAATCTCTTATTCTCATCATTTAAAAAACACTACAACTCATTTTTTTATCTAATAAAGCAGAAGCAACATTTACTTGCTGGTTCTTAAATATGAATTCAGATCTTATTAACTCTTAACCTTTTATTACTATTCTAGAAACTACATTACCAAGACAGTACGATCCAACCTCCAGCCACGTTCCTGAAGTACAACAGTGTAAAGTTAGTAGGGTAACATTTCAATGAGAAAAAAATCCCAGTTAAGAACTAGAGAATTTGGCTGTCATGTCTATTTAACTAATGGAATAGGTTTTGTTATCTATCATTTTAAAAATTGTATAACTGGCTAATATGATTTGATTAATATTAGTAACATCTGATGACCACTGCTGAAAGTTCTGAAAAGAGTTTTTATGTTTTGCTAAAATGCACATTTGAAGCAGATTCATTCCCTGGTCTTTGACATCCACAATGTTCTAGAACAAAGACATTTAAATTTAACTTTAACAATCTACATCAATATTTTGAATATATGAAATAGGCTAATGTTTAAAATAGGCTAATGTATTAAATTTTGCTGAAATGAGAACAAAGGAAAGAAGAGTGGTGTCACCAGGATGGTGACATAGGTCATTCCTGACTTCATTTCCCTTAAAAGAAGAACTAACAACTAATCACAGACAGGACAGCACCGAGAGACTGAGATCCTGTGAGTGAGGCTGAGGCACCCTCTGTACCCCACAGACCCAAGACAGACTATCAGAAGGGTAAAAGGAACTACACACCTGTGGCTTTGGCCCCCCACCAGACCGGCACAGCATCATACCAAGAGGTCTCCCCTGAGCCTATGTTCCTCCAGGATTTAAGGGTGACATCCAGCTCCCCCCAGTGTTTTGGGTTGCTCTGTTGGGAGCCCCTACTCTGCTTTTACCCCATGGGGACAGCTGAGGAAGCTATAAGGCTCAGCACATTGGGAGTCTAATTGAGACAGAGCAGTGGCAGAGAGGCTCCCAATGGCCAGCACTAAAATTTTGGCAGTCCAAGTTCTTCCATGCACAGCCCGAGTTCTAGTCCCAGCCAGCGGCTTTGCTCACCTGCAGAATCAGGTCAGTGGTTCAGTCTGACCAGGAAATTTGGCTGGACGCAGGTCAGCTGAATTCACATCTGCAAGAGAGGAGTTCTACCAGCTCTCGGGCCTGGTCTGCCCACACCCAGGTGGAAGAGCTGAGCTAAAGCTCTACCTGATGCAGAGGGTGGCTCCCAGCCCCTCCTGACCACAAAGCCTATTAGGAGTTGCCTGAATAAGCTCTTTCAGTCTTGCCAGTAGGAGCCAGAAACATAACTGATCAACTGTAGAGCAGGGCCCCTGGCATCATCTGACAGGAAAGGCTAGTGAGAATGCCTGGAATCTGCATGACCCCCCAAATTCTGAACCAAGAGGTGGGGAGCAGAGCTGACGGCCCACAGAGCAACAGCAATGTCTGTGTTTGGCTAGGGAGCTTGGCGCACAAGTTGGTTTGAGGCAGTTAAGTCCACAAAAAAGAACACCAGTGGCCTTCAAGCTGCTTCTACTGTACCAAAGCAGGGAAACTTAACTTGTAGCTTCACTTACTGCTGAACATAGCTTTGAACCCACCAGACTGTGGAACCTTACCAGAGCACACGGGGAGCTGTGCAGCCCACCCAAGAGCCAGCTGACAGTGCCACTTGAACAGGGAGCACAGACCGTGGCTTTCACCATCTGAAGAGCAAAAACCAGTGGCCTCGCCTGACCACGATACTCAGTACACTCTTGCCTGACTCAGGTCCCCAAAGAACCATGTAGGTACTGGGTCCTGTCTTGCTGCTCTGCCAGAACAGGGCAGTTACTTCACAGCTCCACCCACTGCTGAGTGTAGTACCTAGTCCCAACCTTCTGGTAAGCCTGACTGAAGAATCCAGAAAACTGCAGAGCCCATCCTGCAGCCTCCCTGGAGTGGGGAACCAAGCCAGCAGTCCTACCCAATTGTTCTCAGCCAGTGGCATGTTCCCCACAACCTGTCCTCAGAGCTTGAACACTTGCCTTGCCTGAGATCCTAATAACAGGCCCTGTACTCAAAGACACAACCAGCAGACACACCCAGAAGCCCAGATTCTGCTGTCTGGTGCAGCACCATCTCTGCCAAAGTAAACCTGCAAAGTCTGGAAGAGATCACTTATTCACATGCACAGGTTCCATAAAGAATCAAAGATGACAAAAATCAGGTAAATAATGATAGCACCAAAGGAAACAAATAAAGCTCTAGTAACTGATCCTAAGAAATGGGTATCTATAAACTGTTAGACAAAGAATTCAGAATAATCCTCTTACCAAAGTTTAGTGAACCATAAGAACACACAAACGAAATTAGGAAAATACCCCCAAAACCCCAAACAAATCCTAGACCTTAAAAACACAAAAACAGGGGAGTGCAATAGCTTCAAAGGCAGACTTTCCTATGTGAAAGAAATAAAAAGTGACCTGAAAGATAATTGGAATTATCCAGTCAAAGGAACAAAAAGAAGACAATGAAAAGGAGTGAAGCCTATGGGAATTATAGGACACAGAAGAACACTATTCACATTATACGAATTCCCAGAAGAAAACAAAGGCACAAAAAGCACATTTAAAGCAATAATAGATGAAAACTCCCCAAACTTGGGGAAGGAAGCAGATTTCCAGATCCCTGAGGCCAAAAGGAACCCAAATAGGTTAAACCTGAGTAGGGCTATACTGACATTATAATTAAGTTGTTAAGTTAAAGAATTTTGAAAGTAGCAGGAGAAAAGAGAGAAATACAAGGGAAATGCTGTAAGTCTATCGACAGATTCCTCAAGAAACATTTCAGGCCAAAAGAGAATGGAGTGACAAATTTGAAATATTGGGGGAATAAAATGAATGTCAAGAATTCTATACCTGACAAAGCTATCCTTCAGTAACAAAGGAAGGATAAGACTTTCATGACAAAACCTGAGTTCCTTACCACCAGACCTGCCTCTAAAGAAATGTTAAAAAGGGAGTTGAGTGGAAATAAAAAGGATGCTAATTAACATCATATAAACATAAAAGAGGGCAGTGTAAAACTCACTGGTAATGGTAAGTATATTGTCAAAGTTGGATTCTAATAGGATAATGGTGGTGTGTAATTCACTTACACCAGTTTAAAAATTAAAAGCAAACATAGCAAAAATAACCATATCTATAATAATCTATTAGGTAAATATAAAAAATATGTAAAGTAAAACATTAATAAGCTAAAATTTGAGGGAAAGAAGTTAAGAGTGTAAGCTTTAGGAATTCTAATGAAATTAAGTTATTACTTTAAAATTGGTGTTATAATTTTAAGATTTTATATAAGCCTTACTGTAACAACAAGGGAAACACCTGCAGTAATTATACAGAAAACATAAGATGTCAAAGTATACTGAGACCACAAGATATCAAAACACCAAAAAAAAAAAAAAAAAGACAGCAGGATAAAAAACAAGGAACAATGGATCTACAAACCAAATAGAAAACAACAAAATGGCAATATAAGTCCTTATGTAGCAATAATTATTTTAAATATAAACAGATTAAATTCTCTAATTAAAGACACAGAACGGCTGAAAGGATACAAACAACAAGATCCAATAGCATGTTACCTACAAGGGTCTCACTTTAGCTTTAAGGACACACACAGACTGTTAGGAAAGGGATGGAAAAGTTACCAAAGAAAAGCAGAGGTAGCTACACTTTTACCAGACAAGCTAGACTTTAAACTATCAATACATCAAGAAAATACAGCAATTGTATATATGCACACATCAGAACACCTAAGTACATAAAACAAAAAATACCAAAGCTAAAAGGAGAAATGAACAGCAGTACAATAACAGACAAGACAACAAGTGTTGGTGGGAATGAAAACTGGTACAGCCAGGAGGGAAAACAGTACAGAGGTTCCGCACAATCCATCAATTCCACTTCTAGACATTTATCCAAAGAAAATAAAAATACTCATTCAAAAACATATGCACCCCTATGCTCATCACAGCATTATATACAATAGCTAAGATATGGAAGCAAGTTGAACTTCCTTGATTGATAAATGGCTAAAGAAGTAGTGGTGCATATATACAACGGAATATTACTCAGCCATAAAAGAGCAAAATCCAGCCATTTGCAATAACATGGATGGATCTGGAGGGTATTACACACAGTGAAATAAGTCAAAAAACAAATACTGTATGATTTCACTTACATGTGGAATCTGAAAAATAAAAACAAATGAATAAACAGAACAGAAACAGACTCAAAGATAGAGGGCACAAACTTATAGTTGCCAGAGGATGGCAGGGGAGATATACTAAATAGGTTAAGAGGATAAAGAGGAACCATCTATTTATAAAGACATGGAGATTAATGTACAGGATAGGGAATACAGTCAATAATACTGTAACTACTTTGTATGACAGATGTATTACTGTGATGACCATTCTGCAAAATGTGTATGAATAATGAATAACTTTTTTTTGTTTCAACAATATAAAGAACTACCATGTAGGATTCAGCAATTCCAGTTGAGTATTTATCCAAAGGAAACAAAAATACCAACTTGAAAAGATACCTGCACTCCCTGTTCATTGCAGCATTATTTACAATAGCCAAGACATGGAAATAACCTAAGCGTCCATTGACAGATGAATGCTCAAAGAAACTGTGGTATATATAAGCAACAGAACATTATACAGCCATAAAAAATGAGGAAATTCTGCTATTTGCAACATGGATGGACCCTGAGGGCATTATTTAATTGAAATTAAGTCAAAGGAAGACAAATACTATATAATCTCACTTACATGCAGAAGTAAAATAAAAAACTAGACTTCTAAAAGACATTGTATTTGTGATTACCAGAGGTGGGGTGTGAGGGAAAGGGGGATCGGAGGAAGGTGGTCAAAAGGTACAAACCTACAGGACAAATAAGTACTAGAAATGTAATGTACAGCATGACTATAGTTAACATGGCTACACACACCACACATACACACAAAGATAAATATATAGAGAGATATATATAAAACTTGTGAGTAAATCCTGAGTTCTCTTCACAAGGAAAACAAATTTTTCTTTGTCTAGTATTTCTCTTTATATGAGATTATGAATGGCAGCTAAACCTCCTGCAGTAATCATTTCATGATGTACAAAAGTCAAACCATCATGATGTATACCTTAAACTTATACAGTGATATATGTCAATTATTTCTCAATGAAACTGGAATTTAAAAAAAAGGCAAGAAAGCTATATTGCTGAAATGTCTAGAATGAACATTTGGAGGGAGTGTAGTTATATACATAAATAATATAGTAGAACTGTGTGCTAATCATTCAAAAATAGAACAAGTTTAATATGTTAGAGACTTTTAATATAAAAGTGCTATATAAAATGTATATTACCTTTAATATAAAAGTAATATACTCTCAGAATAAAAAATTTGAGCATGCTCTAATGAGCAGTTCCATATTAGGTATAGGAAATGTTTATTCATTTTCTGCAATATAATATATATAGCAGGGAATATCTTGTTAATGATAAATACTTAGGATAGAGTTGCAATGGTTTTTGCATTTTTATAACATAACTTACTTTATGTCATTCTTGTAGTTATCACTCTTAGAATCTTCTTTGCTAATACTGAGGCTGTGACTTTAATTTCTTCCATTTGCCAGTGTATATCTATAAAAAAAATGACACAGTAACTATATAAATAAAACTTTTGAAAATCAAGTAGTGTAATTTAAAATTTCTTTAATGTGATGATCTTTCAGACTCCAGAGTCCTCCTTTTACAAGACATTATTTTTTGCATATATTCATTTTGACTACTTATTAGAAGTGAATGTAGCACTGAAATTTATATAAAAGGTTAGATTTATTGCTGATTATAATTTTATTGTGCTTTTACAGGGCCTTGAATGAGCATGGCCAATCCAAGAGGACTGAAATCACTAACAGTACTTCTCATTTTAAATCAAACATCAATCAAAAAGTTTTATTTAGGACAGTTGGTTTAAAACATAAGAGAACAAACCAATGTAACATTGATTTGAGGCAAATTACTTCCCAACTAATAATACTTAGAGCTGAAGTGATTTATTATTTAGTGATGCTAAGGAAAACTTAGTGATACTAAATAAGTAAGCTTCTCATCATGATTCAGCAATCAACAAAAGGACTTTTTTTGAGGATATGTCACGAAGAGAAGGAAAACCCTGGCATATGTTCTTTATTCTTTAAGAACACATGATTAATTTCTTCTCCTAAAAATGAATCTGAGCTATCCTTCAATTTAAGTATATAAATATATTTATATATGTTATGAAGAAACTTACCTGTCAAAAAATCTATCTTCCAATGTACATTTCCTAGTTTAGTTTACTTCTAGAAAACCTTCTGACTTTGAAACAGAAATCTTTAGTATTTCACTGATTTAGAAAACTTTTTCTTTTTTGAGATCAGCCTTTAAATTTCTGCCCATCACTAACCCCTACTCAGAATAATCTAGTAACTCCTAAACTTTCCTCTACCATTATAATTTCCATCTAGTTTCCATTAATATGCTAACATCAGAATGCCTGCTTTGGCAGGCAACACACCCTCCACACCCCCAGCACTGCTTCTCCAATATGGCTAAATTTTTAGAAAAAAATAATGTAGCTATAAAACTACCCCAAAACGTTAATTTTTTTGCAATAAAAGCCACCAAATTCACACAAACTTACTCAAATGCAGACTTCTTCCATCCTGTATGACTTACATAACCTATATCTGAACTAATTTGTTAAATGCAGATGATGATGGTCAAACTCCTCTTTAGTGACTAGATTTTAAGGAGAAAATTATCTATTGAATCAATTTTGGAAGGAGAAACCAAGCTATGATAACTGGTATAGAATGAAACTGGGATAGTTCAAGTTTAAAAAACAGAAGACATTGAGATAAAACTCCTCATGTGTTTATGCAGAAGAGAGTTAGTGGGTAAGAACATTGTTTTTTTCTTTTGGTGGAGGGGAATGTAGATAAGCACCCAAAGATCTCAGCCATGTTGGAGTTGTGATATACTACTTCTACAATACCTCATTAGAAAAATATAAACTAATGTCCTTTTAGAATGGCTGTGGTCTGCTGGTGTCTTGTTCTGGGGCTCTATATAGTTTCTAAGGAAACTACAAAAAATTGTTTCCAAAAGCTAGGGACTATTACGTCCTCGACGGCAGAAATTGCTGGGAAAATTGAAGCTCTGCTGCTGGTCAGTGCAGTGAGGAAGGGTTTTTGAATAACCAGATGTTACAGACTTGAAACACCTACCTCAGTTATCTGAACTGGAAAGCCAGAATAGTTTATCTTCCTCGTCTGGTGATTTTGAAGCGTAACAGCATGCCCTTAGCACAGTGTCAGGAAGACAGGTGGTTAATAAAAGTCAACCTCTTTATCTATCTATGTATTTGAAGTCCATGTGAATACCTGCCCTTCCACATACAGACTATTATTTTTCAAGTCTTAAGAAAATAATTCTGTTTTTCCTAAAACTCAGTCAAAAAAATGTATAGGAAGAACAGCAGAATGAGGAAAGGACAAAACTACATATGCTGGTGTTTGGAATGACAATCATATTGAGATGAAATTTAAACAAACATATGCATTAGGTTGTTTTGTGATTTAGATACTACCTTACTAATCCTTAACTATTATATAGTTAAAGATTTTCTCCTTTAATAGCTTTTATGGCTATCCATAAAATGTGTTCATTAGGTAATATGTATAGAAGCAAATTGACATATACACATTAAAGAGAAAATTCAATTAAAAACTAGACTGCCTAAAAAATAAATATTAAATTTATTACCAAAGCTCTCCTCTTATGAACACTAAGAGTAAAGGTTAGAAAAATTCATTGATGCTTTTGTGTCTAGATTTACTATTTATTAACAAAAGGATAGTTTTTGACTTTAACATTAGGAATTTAGCATATACCTTATCCAACCACAAACCCATCAGCTACTTATATAATAAACTAGTATGAATATTTATGTTGGACTAATTTAAGGCAAATATTTTCTATTAAGCAAAATATTAATTTACCTGTATTGCTTCTTTTATAATGTGTCTTTAACTTAAAAAACTAAGCAATATAGAAGAGCAGCTGGTTTATTCTTTTGATTTATTTTAAGTATTAAAAGTTACTTTCTTGAGATGGCACATTGTCAGGTTTGGTGTTTCCTGACACTAACAGTTCAAAACAAATTGTTTTTTCAAAGTCTTACCATCCAAAAAGAAAGGAAAAATAAGTCATTAACAGTGAAAATGGTAATTTTCAGAAAAGGTTGAGAGGATAAAATCTGAACCATTCTTGATGAAGAAATGAAATCATTTTAAATTAAAAATACAAAGTTAAATGAAGTAGTATAAAATATTGAAACCAGCTAAAATTAGATGCATAGGTATTTAATCAATAGTAAGAGAGAACAGCAGTGGAACTTAAATATGATAGAATTGATCAACAATAAATAAACACTTTTAGTGCAAACAGTGCAGAAAAATTTCTCAAAGCAAAGATCATAGCAATCATTCTAATCTGTATAAAATCAGTCTCAGTTCTGTATACAATCTGTATAGTACATCTATGAATTCAGTCACTGTGATGAAATGCCAATTTTCAAATCATTAATATAAAAGGTGCTTAGTTTTGTGTCCCATTCCTCTCTTGGCAGTACATGTTTTCAGGAAAATCTGGAAAGAAAAGAAAACACTCTATTATTTAAGATGATATATTTTATCCCTTTACATTCTCTTCCAATTATATTTACATATAAGACGATGACTTGATTATGAGGGAAAAGAAGTAGGGAAGGGATTCTAGCATGTTCATATAAATAAAAAATTAGTGTCCACTTCTCCAGCTATGATACAAAAAATTAATTCTTACCCTCATGATTTACAAAATAAGATACAGAATAATTCAAACTTCCAGTTATAAGTCATGGGGATGGGAGTACAGCATAGGGACAATAAAAAATACTGTAATATCTTTGGTGATTTATGGGTATTTCATAATTATGTAGATGCTGAATCACTATTTTGTGCACCTGAAACCAATGTAATATTACACATTAACTCTGCTTCAATAAAGCATACACACACACACAAGATATAAAATAATTCAGTGTTGGCACTAATGTTAATTTAAGTACAACTAGATTGAGAGAAGTACAACTAGATGAGTTTCAGCTAGAGATGGGAAATTGCTGCTGTTCCCTCACCATAGCCTGCTCCCTTTTTTGGGAACCTCCTATGCTCCCTCGAAGTCTGCTCCTCCTGCCCAGTTGCATGTCAGCAGAGGACATGACAGCATGTTCAGGCCAAACTGCTGGTGGGCCAGTGTCTCTTGCGGGGGTTTGTAGGGAGAACTTTGCCAGTGTCCGGGGGCGGCCTGAACTCTCATGATACAATTGGGCCTGTGGCAGGAATGGCTGAAGCATGTGCCAGTGTAGCAAGCAAAGGCTCTCTGACAAGCAAGTGAGAAAGCACACGAGAGGGAGAGATAGAAAAGAGCAGAGAGGCAGAAATGAGAAACAAGTGGCCTTGGAACACATGTGAACCTGAGCAGGTGCTTTGGTCACTGACGGCCTCTCATGGTGCTGTCACTCGGGTGAGTGAGTTGTACTTTCTTCCATTTTGGCTTCATAATGTACCCCTGCATTGTCCAATAATACAAGCTTTTACTTAAACTCACTGGGGTGCGAACTATTTCTTACAGCCAAATCATTCCTAAACAAGAAAGAGGGAGGGGAAAAGGAAGGGTGTCCTACGATAAGAGCATGAACAAAGACACAGTGACAGAAGAACGAACATGACAGGTGAGAGAACGTAAAACGAGAATGGAAAATTAAAATGGATGATCTCAAATATAGGCCAGATTATGGAAAGCTTAACACCAGAGAGAGAAATTTGGCATCGATACTGTCATTGCTAGGGGCTCCTTACAGGTTCTGGAGCAGAGAAATTCTATTGCTGAGTGGTATTTTAGGAAGATGACTGTCAGTGATGTGCAGGAAGGAGAAAACCTAAAGTCAGGGGACTGGCCAGAAAAACACTGGAAGAAAGAGACTGGCAGTTCATTTGAAAGAAAGAAATGACAAAGGAGATTACTGAGAAATATGTCAACGAAGTGGTATGGTACACTTCACACATAAACTGAGAGAAGAATTATAGCTTATTTAATTATAAGTTGCTATCAAATACTGAAAAAGTAACACATTTCATTGAAGCCAACATCATACTGAGAAAATACCCAAAAGATTTCTACTGGTTATATGCTATTATACAAAACATTATGCTTAATACTTAATACAAAGCATTCTATACATTATGCTTATAGTACTATGCTTAACAGTGGCTGAACATGCACTAGTAAGAACATTTCAATTAAGTCATGCAGTAACCTTGAGACTCAAACCTTCTAGAATACCATTTACCTATAATGGAGCATGAAATTGGCTGTGCAGTGTTATTGCTTGTTGGAGTTTCTCTTCCTTGGCTCTTCGACAGTGACAAATCTACAAGATAAATTATTTAAAATACCAGTCACTTCTCCAGCAATTTGCCTATTTACTTCCTACATTAAGAATCTTTTAACCTGTTGACATTTAACTTTCAAAGTTTAATGTAGCTCAGAATTTAAGAATCTGCTACCCCCATCCCCCACTTCATCCCCCTCAAAAAACCCACTGAATTTTGTTTGGAAAATAACCTCTTTCTGTAAAATTCCAGAATGTAAAACAAACTCTGCTCCTCCATATCAGTTATTTATGTAGTTACAAATATCTATGTATTAAAAATATAAATGAAAACTTCAAGGTATACATAGTACCAAAGAACAATGGACCAGAATCAGTACCTTACTAATAGTACAACCATACTCATTAACGTCCCAGACCTTCAATTTTCTCTCATGGGAAATGGGGATAATAAAACCTATCTAAAGGTAATATTTAAAATGTGATGTTTTAAAGAAAGTAGGTAAATACTTAGGACTCTATCAAAGGGCAAGGTACTAGTAAGCAGACTTTTTTGCTTACTATATATATATATAGAAATATCAGAAGAGAAAGTTCTTAACATTTACAATTTAAAAAAATTATCTTTGTAGATTATTCTTTTTAAACAACTTGTCAAACAGGTAGTTCAGGAGGGTATCACAACTGTTAATACTGTACTTAGGCTAACTTACCATCTTTAACTACAGAATTATAGATATTTCTGAAACAGAATTAGCCTTTGATTTGCCTGCCATGTACTCACAACAAGCAGGTTTAAAGTAATTAGTGGGGTGTTTTGCTCTTCAGTTTCCTCCCATGGCATTCCAAACTCCAGCTCAGTAATGTGCTAACTTTTTAAACTCATAAATATCCTTAAATAATTTGACATTACACTGCCATCTTTCCTCAACTGAAGAGTATTACATACTGTTCTCTTTTCCATGAAGCTACTGAGAAAATCATCAATTTCAGTTTTTCCCTCCAAGAAATCTTCAGCAATGTTATCAGATTCTTCCTCAGCTTCATGTGCAGCTACTTTCAATCTTGCCTGTAGGGCACTCGCACTACAGCTCTGGAAAAGAAAGTCAAGTACTACATGGGTTTATAATGCTCAGAAAAACTCCTTAGAAGCAAAGAAAAGGAGATGCAGGTAGGGAGAAACATTCCATTCTAGCAGTGAGGAAACCTGCTACAACTCAGGTCCTGAGCTTTTGGATATAGGGGTGGATAACTAACAAAAGAATCCACCTCATTGGCTGCAAGCTATTCAGTACGAGCAACTAGGCAAATCAATGTCCTCTCCTGAGTATTTAGGAATTGGATCAGTGTGGCAGGCACCACTGAGGATGGTCCCCAATAATCCCCACCTTCTGGTATTCCTGCCCTTGTGTATTCCCCTCTTCCAGAGTGTGGGTTGGACATAGTGACTCACAGAATATGGCAAAAGGGGTGCAATTTAAATCTTACCAAAGGGGTGAAAGATCTGTAAACTGAAAACCACAAAATGTCATTGAAAAAAAATGAAGACATAAGTGGAAAGACACCACCCGTGTTCATGGATTGGAAGACTTAATATTGTTAGTATGACAACACTACCGAAAGTTATCAGTCAATCAAATTCCTATCAAAATATCAATGATACTTTTTGCAGAAATACTAAAGTCCATCTTAAAAGTCACATGAAATCTCAAGAGACCCCAAATTGTCAAAACAATCTTGACAAAGAACAAAGTTGGAAAATTCATACTTCCTGATTTCAAAACTTACTACAAAGCTACAGTAATTAAAAGTGTATGGGCAAGAGAAATATACAGACCATGTAACAGCAAGCCCAGGAATACACCCTCACATATATGGTCAAGTGCTTTCAAAAAGTGTGCCAAGACCATTTAACGTGGTAAGGACAGTCTTTGACAAGCAGCGCTGGGAAAACTGGATATCCACATGCAGAACGAAGTTGGACCCTTCCTTACTTTACTTCACATGCAAAAATTAACTTAAGGGAGCAAAGAATTAAATGTAGGAACAAAAAATATTTTTAATTACAGTCACGGGTGTAATGTAGCAACTCATGGTGATACCTCACAAGCTTATCATCCTTGCCAACACTGGTTATCTATCTTTATAAACTGGGCTCACGCAGATGATGCAATTTTGATTAGGATTTGTAAGGTTTGAATATTTTTTTCAAATGTTTCCATTTATTTATACATTAAATATATACCAAGAATCAACTATGTTCCAAGCACTAGACTATGTACTGGAGGGAATAAATACCCATGGGTATAAGGGGGGAATAAAATGACAGGTTTCTGCACTTCTGACATCAACAGTCTAGTTTAAGTGGTTCACATACTTTAGAGTGTAGAAGATTCATCATCCCCTGAGAGTCTGAGTGAGCACATCTAGAGATGAGCCAAGGCATCAAGGTTCTTTTTTTAATGTTTCAACAAACACTTTAAGCAACTCCTATATACATGGCACAGAATAACTGTTATATTAGAATCTTATTAGACATTCATATTTCTCCTTTTATGAGTTTCCTGTTCTTTGCCTTACTTGTAAAGACTCTTCATGGACCACTGGCATTAATATTTGCCATTTGCCATATATGCTACAATATTTGCTCACTTTACTTCACTTTTAGTTTTATGATCTTCAATATATATGCTTTAGATTTATAAATAACAAAATATATGCATTTTTTCAATTATAATTCTGCCTCTTGTATCATATTTAGAAAGGTTTTCCCACCATAATCTTAAAAAAAAAATCCTAGGAGACAGATGTCTTTGATAATTTTGTGTTTTCTGCTTAAATACTTATACTATCAGGAGTAGCTCTGTGTGTACAGTATGACACAGGGAGCTAACCTTCTAAATGGACTACCCATTAGATCATTTATTAAATCCTCAATTTTTTCTAACTATTTACTCGTATACACATCAGTCTGTTTCTGAACTGCATAGTCTGTTCCACCGAACGATTTTTTCCTTCCTACAAAGCTACTCTATTGTTTTAAATTATGAGGTTTTAAATGTATTTTGATCCTGGGAAAGGGAGGTCTTCCTCACTGTCTCTTCCTCATGGTTTTGTTCAAGCTCTTCCTACTTTTACCCATTTATCTTTCAGATGAACTTTAGAGTAAATCTATTAAAAAAAAACTCTTAGGATTTTGATAGAAATATATTAAGATTTTAAGTTATGTCAGAAAGAATGGTATCTTTATAATACTCTTCCAGTCCATGGATATTCTGTTTTTCCATTTACTCAAGTCTTTCATGTAGCAAAGTGTCCTAACTTATTTAACTGGATTTGGCTCCAAGTATTTTACAGTTCTGTTGCTATTGTTAATACTATTTTTCTCTACTTCATTTTGCTCTGACAGTTGCTGGAATCTAGAGGAAAACTTCCTCAATAGGCTATGATTTTTGCTTGCTTATTTTTGGTAAACAATTGTTTCATCTTTCCTTTCACACTGTATCTTTTCTTTTTCTCTGTCTTGTTGCAGTGGCCAAAACCTCCGGAGCAACGTCAGACCACGGTGACACTGGTACATCACTTCTTACCTGAACGCTGATGGGATCCTGGAAATGTTTAGTAATTAAGTGTGATGGCTGCTAGTGATTCTAATATTCTTTATCAAATTAAGGAATTATTTTCTATTCTTAGTTTACAAGTTTGTATAAGAAAACATGTGACTGTTATAAAAAATTTCACCATTATCTACTAAGCTCTAACATGCATCTCAGAGGACAGCTGACCCTGAACAATGCAGGTGTAAGGGTGCCAATCCCCTGCACAGTTGGAAATATGCATGACTTTTGACCCCCCCTAAAACTTTACTGTTGACCAGAAGCCTTACTAATAGTCAATCAGCACACATTTTGTATATGTAAGGTATTCTTACAATAAAGTAAGCTAAATAAGAAAATGTTTTACCAAACTGTCCAAATCTCAAAATATTTTCTAATTATAGTCACTGAGAGAAATCTGCATGTAAGTGGACTTACATAGTTCAAACCCATTTTGTTCAAGTATCGACTGTATTTCAGCTGATTCTCTCAGACTTTCTAGTTAAGAGTGAGGGAAGACTGCTTATGTTTGACTCCTGACCCTAATACTTTCTATATATATGATCTCAGGGAACTTATTGTTTGCTCATTGATAAAATAGGAAAATAGTAACAATATTACCTCATAGGATTTGGGGGGAATAATGGGCAGTATATGTAAACAGCTTAGTTTAGTACAAGATACAGACTAATCATTGTTAGCTATTATTCTTATTTCTCTTTATTCTAAAAGATGATCACATTATCTGAAATACATTATAAATTTATATTCTCCTTTATCATCATTTTTTTGCTGCTGTTTTATTTCTATTTCATGTTTTATTACACTGGCTTTACCTTCCAGAATTTCTGATTTTAAAGGAAATAGAATGTAATTATGATGTTGGCCTCTGATACAAGATAAAAAGATTGTAGCCCCTATTCTTTTTATTTTTAAAGATTTATTTTATTAGAAATATGGGTTACTTTTATAAAATGCTTTTAATTTTTCACATAACCGGATTTCTATGATTAAATCTATTATTTGTGGCAAATTATAATTTATACTTTTTATGCTTTTAGATTTGCTTATTTTTTCATTTAACACATGTGTACATAAGCTTACAAGTGAATCTAAAGTTACAGTTTATTGTTAGGTTTTATTACAAGAGTTAAAACGGCCTTATAATAATTTTCCCAGGTAAGTGATTTATGGGGCTTTTCATATTTTTCTATTTGGAACGAATATGCTCTCTCATGAGCACAAATGATTTATAATGCCTCCACAATTGAAAGCTACCA